CTGGGGTGAGTACTTAAAAGCCGCAGCCTTTACCCTATTTATTGATAATTAATCACCGTTGGATGCACATCGTCATAAACTCGATAGAAAAATAAAATTTAAATTGTCAATCGTCAATGTCATTATCGTACTTTAAGCCAGTTGATCTGATTTCTTAAGGTACCGATTCTATAACTTTGACTGAAAAGTTCATTACAATTTATTTTTCAAAAATCGGTATCTCTATTGCTTTTGATGTACAGTGGAGAGCAAGACTGTAAGACGGTAGCAAGTACACTGTGTACATTTATCAATCATTCAATCAGTCTTGTCCTCCACATTTTGCATCAGCTTTCAAGGTGTTCTTGGATGTTAAGGCAGCTTGGATAGAATTCCAGTTAGTGTAAAATTGCGATCCGCGTAGGTGGTGATGATTGCATTATTGTATGGCTGTAGGTAGGTCGGCTGAATAAATTATATAAAGGATGGGACCAAAAATGCTCCCTTGTGCGACAACGGCTTGTGTTTGTTTGACTTCCGAAAAATCGTTGCCGCGCCTCACTCAGCGGTCGGTTAGATAGGATTTCAGGATAAGGTAATAATGATGGGTAGGAAGCATCTAAGTTTATAAAGCATTAAAAAGTACCTAAAAATATTTATTTAGAAATCGTGAGATGCGGTCTGGTGTGATGTAGGTTTCAGAAAAACATTTTCTTTATCGTGCCAACGTTTCGATCTTTATTNTTTTTTATCTCAACCAACACCTTGCATAAAGAATAATGAATTGAAAGAGGTTATTTGGTCAATCGGACCACGAACTCTAATGGGCTTAGAATCTAAGTTCATCCCCAAATTTTTGATTATATTATTCCAGAGAATTTGGGTTTTTCCAAGCTTTGTAGACTCTGAATTGAAAACATTGAAAGTAGTTGAAAACAATACTGTGAAGTTGTAAATCCGTGAAGTTTTTGAGTATAAGCCCTGCTTAAAAACGTAATAGTATATTTTAATCTTAAAACATTGCATAATCAGAATGTAAGTTTTGAGTAGCCTTATCGATAAAAGTCAATAAAGACTTCAAATAAACTTTCGTACGTGTACAACCTTCTATCCTCAAAACCTAATAAATAGATATACAACAAAACTGAGACCCCCTTTGAGCTCTTTATGTTCTAGTTATTTCAAATAAAGAATCGGATATCACTTTTGAAATGAACCCGCTATTTGTCTGTATTTAAATTACTGAATAGTTAAGGGTCTAGCCTCATTCTGTCTAATGAAAGCCTCGAGAATACAGACAAATAAAATCACCTTTTCCGATAATTAAAGAGAAAGGTCAAATTAATCTACAAAGTGGGGTTGGTCTAAAGCCCGTTAATGTTATCTGATGACGGCGGAGAGGGCACTTACGATTTAAATCATATTTCATTTGACTTGAAATATTTACTTTAATCCTTGATAAACTGAAAAACCCGTATTTAATTGTTCTTCTGCACTTTAACTTTTAATTATTGGTACAATCAAAAACAAAGAGATTCATTTAATTTATAATTTAAATGCAAAGTACAGACCCTGATTTGTAACCCTTGAGAGAAGCGTTCTTGTAACCCTTCCCAAAATAATAAAATTTGTAAAGTTTTAAGTTCCAAGAAAGTATTGTCAACATTTCAAAATTAAATAAACAAATCGACAGTGGGAAAAGTAATCAACCTAAATTTAGTGTTGTTTACAGCAGTCTACTGTTCCTTAAAATCCCAATATATTTAATCGAAAACTGATCAGTCGTTCGGCACGATGTTATATCAGGATGCTGTTACAGGTATTAATTTAACAAAGATTACCTCGTCAAAAGATGGTTCGATTAATGGATACCGTGAGAAATTTATAGCCCGGAAGAGGGCATGATCGAGCATTATATTATATTTAATCCTTCCCGCCTTAGGAAGACATGATGTATGTCATATGAGTATTTTTATGTGACATGAACGTAATAACTGTTCGAACAGTAAAAATGAAAGGACTATTGTTTAACAATAGCTACATTAGATTTGTTTCATTTCATGTGGATTCGTTACAGGCTGTTCTGTTACAGTTTCTTTCTCATAGAAGTACGCGGTGCATTACTGGCGAAAAACTCGACCCTGGAGAAATTTTCGAAAGAAAGAGTCAATAATTTGTCAGAGAAATTTAAGGCGTCAGGAAAAGATGCTTTTCTGAGGAACATTACGACTGTACTAGAAAATCTGCTCAAAAATTATGAAAGTTCCCAGACACCAACGCACGGAAAAGGTAAGAAAAATAATTCAACTTAACGAATGCAAATCGTGTGAGATTTCTTGTTGAGGAACATATTTTGTACATTCTATGTTTACTTTTCGTCCGCTGGAATGCAGGGTTGCGTTTTAACCCCTGTATCCGATATACCCCCTGCTTCAGAAGTCAACAAATACCTGTACTATCTTTGGTTGACGATTCTATTGTCGACTGATTAATAAAAACTTTCTAATTTACTAGAAAAGACATATTTATGAAAACGTGCCTTTTTTTATTGAGGTGCCAATTTAAATTGAATTTAAAGACCCAAGGACTCTTTCTGTATCATCGCCAAATAATATCATAAGTACTGCCAATTTTTTTTTTCAAAATTGTAAAGCTATCGTAACTCGTGAGAAAAAGACGAGGTTCAAACTGTGAAGTTTAGAGCTTGTCGAAGCCCGCCGGGTTTTGAACTGGAGTTTTATTATTACTTTTTTTATGGAGTTTTATTTATGAAGTTTTTGTTTATCATCCTTGCCTGCCTATTCTCGCTACCTCTGTGTGTACATCCTTTATCGGCTATTCACCATCTTCAATGGTTCTGCTGTCTTGTAACTCTAACTTCTTGTTGACTACAAAAGTGAACTATCAAAAGAATAAATCTGATCAAAGCGTATAAGTTTCCATAAAAACGCTATTGAATACAAATGCGACTATTCTTGCTTTGTTTGTTGGATCCTTCGTCATAACTCATAAAAAAGGACACGAGTGACAATATACACAGACCAACCAATGAAGATCGCAAAACGCGTTTGACAGACCCAAAATGAAAAACATGAAGCAGGGCATAAGAAAATACCTACCAGGGGCTATACTTTACTACCCAAAAGTGGTTGATATGGTATAGTCCAAAATTAATCCATGGTAATAATGATTATTTGGAGATCGTGAGGTGCGGTCTGGTGTGACGTAGGTTTTAGAAAAACATTTTCTTTATCATGCCAACGTTTCGATCTTTATTGAGATCATCTTCAGGGCCTGGGATTTATAAACATTGTTTAAATTTTACAAATACATGTACGATAGGATGTGAAAAAAATGAAATTTATAATATATATTACATAATGAAAAAAAAATTGATTCAATGATAGACAATTTTAGATTTAAAAAAGAATGAATTTATACAATTCTATTTTTTATCTAAAATTGTCTATCATTGTATAAATTCATTTTTTTAAATCTAAAATTTTCTAGCATTGTATAATTCATTTTTTTCACATCCTACATGTATTTGTAAAATTTAAACAATGTTTATAATTCCAAGGCCCTGAAGATGATCTCAATAAAGATCGAAACGTTGGCATGATAAAGAAAATGTTTTTCTAAACCTACGTCACACCAGGCCGCACTTCACGATTTCCAAATAATCATTGACTAACGGTCACTAACACCACACGTGGTAATAATTTTCTCTATTTTGTCTACATTGGTTTTAAAACAGATCACCAATATTTAAAAGTAAAAATACGAACTTATCGATCGATGGGCTTATCCCTTCATCTAAAGAGCTCAGGTGGCTGTCCAATTCGTGGAGATTATTTTCATTTGTTGTCAGGACTTTGTTTGAAATATTCCCCTAAAGGTTCTCATACAGAACCTTTGTCGAATGGGTCTCAAACGTATCGTAGGGACAAACTGAAGTCATTTCGATATGAAAAAGAGTCAAAGAAAACCCTAAGGTGCCCTTAGGATACCGGTTTACTTCGAATATTGTATGTTTTGATGTATTTGTATTGAACCAGGCTGTTTCCTCTTTTGAAGGCATAGACTGAATTACACGGAAAGAAATAAAAGTCGACCGTGGGGACCCTTCGGGGCCATGTTGATAGCAATTCGCTTCCTTAAGAAGTCGTATGATGTAATAAATGAAACTGAAGAACAGCCCCTCGTGGTCACGGTAAAAGTAAAAAAAAAACACTGTTGATTGTGACCCGGGGCACGAACCTCGGTTATATACTCCTAGTTTATTGGTTTCCCTCTCGGACTCTCCTCTGGTCCTCCGCTGTTGAGAAGTGTGTCAAATTTAATTCAACCCGAGTAAAAAAGTAGTTTATCAATGTCATCAGAGATCGCAGACGTATTGATCGATCAGTCTGATCCGGTGGCAAATAAAGTTATAAAGTTAAAATTAAGTATAAGTAAGTATTGAACCAAAAATATTCATATTTTCCGATGGCAAATAATAACAATTTACGAATGAATTTCACAAACCCTAGTAAATAAATCAACAAAATAAACAAATAGTAAATACCATAGATTATTCTAATATGTGTGTCTAAACAAAGTTACACAAGGTAGAAAAGTTACTACATGGCAAAAAGTAGTATAATGGGCTTAATTCATTATACATTTATAGTAAAAGGGAGAATCGTAATTTATTGTGATGAGCTACTGATTGATTTTTTCCATTCATTTTTATTTGTGCTGGTTTTGGCTGTCAGGTGCGTTTCGAATTTCACGACCTTCAATGGTTGGTCTGTGTTTGGGATTGGTGTGTTTTTTTCAGTAGTCAGTCGAAAATGTAATTTCAGCAATACCGATTTTATAAGCTGACAAGTAATCCAAATGTAAACAAAAACAAGGTACACAAGGTAAAAACGTTAAAATAAAAAATATACAAGGCAAAACATACACACAAAAAACTTATATAAACTCAAATCTGCACTGGCATGTACATATGCACATACGTGTACAGAGTTGAGCCAATCACTTCTCGTAGCCCACCGGCTTCCAGCTTTTCTACTTTACAATTAATTTCGATTGAATCTTGTCTGGATTTCAATATTATAGTAATATTGTAACAGTGCAAACTTCAAATCAAAATTTTTCAGGTGAGCCAACAATCATAAAGACAAATATCCTAATCAGGAGTATGGGCCCTGTGTCCGAACTTGATATGGTTGGTATATTCAAAAAAATAAAGTTTCACCTTTTTTCTTTAATTAATCACATCTTCTAGGATTATTCCATGGACTGTTACTTCCGCCAGTCCTGGAGAGATTCCAGACTTAGCTTCCTAGGTCCCATTAAGAGTTTAAGTCTAAGCATCAAGATGCTGGAGAGGATATGGCGTCCGGATACTTACTTTTACAACGGCAAACACTCTTATGTCCACACCATCACTGTGCCAAATAAACTTCTGAGAATAACGCAAGACGGTGATATCCTCTATTCTATGAGGTTGGCTCCATGTTTCAATGTGTTTACCTCTAGTCTCCCGTCCTGTCCAGCTACCATGGATGATGATTAAATTTTCACAGAATGTCAACAAAACTCAAAAATTAATAGATAACATTAAAACCATTTGTTTAGTAGCACGCGTCCACATTTTATCAATCATCTTAAAAAGATATGATTTGTTTTTGTCAAAGCTACATTTCATTGCTTAAGTGCAATTTATTTACATCAGATAAATTGTTATGCGCAGATTGACGATTAAGGCGAAGTGCCCGATGGAGCTGCATAACTTTCCCATGGACAGGCAATCCTGCCCTCTCATCCTCGGAAGTTGTGAGTCCTTTACTTAAATAATGACAAAAGATTTATTGTTTTTTAAAAATAAATTGTTTATTGTATGATCTTGAGACATAGTGGCCTGTTTTTTCTTTTTTTATCTGGATCAAAACTTTTTAAATGCGCCTTCTACTTTACTATTTGTTGATAAAATGTTACTTTTGGCATATTCTTTTTTTAACTTTGTTAGTCTTCTTGCAAATAAAATCAGCACGATATGACAAACGAAATTAATCTTTCTTTGCAAGGAACATGTTGAAAAAAAGTCTACTTCAACTATTTACAAGCATAGAAACAAAAACCAATGCCAAGTCAATTTAATCAGAATCGAACGGTAAAGAACGTTGAAAAAATTAATGGTTAATTAATGTGAGAATTGTGACCCCCTCGTTAATTAAAGGATGCCTGGATATCATGAGGTTATGGTTTAGCATATTCAACGTGTTCTTGTGTAATAAACGCAGTAACGGCATTCCAGGCAATACCTCATTTATTGACTTCCCTTCGTAAACATATTTTATAGAAATATAAAAATTGATCCGAACCCAGGGGCTCGAAATGAGTATTTCTTTTGACGCTTTTCACATACGAATAAATATAATTTTAATCTAGTACTTGTACTATTTTTATCAAGGTACGTTTTATATTTTTGTTCATAGATGCGTACCCGAGCCGCCAACTGGTGTACCAGTGGCAATCTGGGAAAAGCGTAAGTTTCGAATCGGGCATGGCCCTATCCCAGTTCGACCTCATGGGAAGCCCACAACGGAATCTAACTTTAAAAAGGAGAGAAGGTAAATTTTTTAAAATTTTCTTATGTAAAAATGCAAATTAACTTATCAAAAGCGCAATATACTTAAAAATGAGCCGAAAAATATGATCTGAAATATATAAAACCATTGGTAGCACTACACCATAGTTTATGTTCCGGTATTGTCTTCGAAAGCTTTTCTTCATCATAAGCATTGTTTGGCAACCCACCCAAATCTTTGGTTAGAGACAGCCGCAATAGATTGAACATTGATGTTACTGAACAAGATCACTCCAGTCTTTTATTGTTTTACAATTAGTCGTCTCTGGTCATCCTGATTTGTCTTTCCTCGCTGATTTGATCTGCCAGCAATATCACCAATGAAGAAAAACGTCTGAAGACCAAACTAACGAAGTTAGGCATACAACAATGTTCAGAAACCGCCAACCTACATTTCGTCCTTTAAACTTTTCCTGGAGGTACAGGAGGCCTAGTTGTAAAGAAGATACAGCAAAGGTCTTAAAACTCTACCCTGTGAGATACCAGAAAAAATAGATTTACCAGGACTAGATTGAACTTAACACGTCATTAAAATCACAAGTTTCTATAACTAGAAAACATTTGAAGAAGATTGGGCTTGGCTTTAATAAAATAGTATTAATCGAAGAAAGATGAATCGCTTATGTACTTCCTGATCAAGGGCAGCCTATGCATTTTTTGTTTGCCTTGTTTTCTTTAAAAGCATGGGTGGATAGAAGATACAGAAAGGGCCTTTAAACGTACCCCTGTGAGGCTTCTGACAAAATACCTACCAGAACTATATAGTCCTTGGAACTTCCTTAAAAACACACGTTTGTAAAAACAAGATTTTTAAAAAGATTTGGCTTTGATTTAGTAAATTTTTGTTTGTAAGTCAGAAATTGATGGATCGATTTTGTTATATTGATCTTGATCAAAGGCCATAAGTCGTTTGTCTTGTTTCCTTTGGAAAAATGGGTTAGCAGATAAAGCAAATGTTATGTAATGTGATCCTGGAGACACCGGACAAAATATACACACAAGAACTAGATAGCCCATGGTATTTCCTTAAAAACGCACATATCCATAAATAAAAGAAATTTTAAGAAGGTTTGGCTTTGATTTAGTAAAATTTTGTTTGTCAATCAGAAGTTGGTGGATCGATTCTATTATATACATTCAATTAATTAAGGTTTTAAGTTGCGATAAAAAAGTCAGTGTCATGAGCGGGATCGAACCCACGACCTTCTGCTTGATACGCCGCTACTCTACCACTTGAGATATCGTGACTTCGACGAAGGTCGTGGGTTCGAATCCCGCTCGTGACACTGACTTTTTTATCTCAACTTAAAACCTTAATTAATTGAAAGTTATTAATTGGTCAAGCGGACCACGAAAAATAGTGAATCTATTATATACTGTATCAAGGGCAGTCTAAGCATTTGTCGTTATTCTTGTTTCCTCTGGAGACCTGGCTGTATAACGGACAGAAAGGGGCTTAAAACGCAACCCTGTATGACAAAATATATCTATTAGAGCTAATTAGCCTTCTTCATTAAAAACGCAAGTATTTATAAATAGAAGAATTTGTAAGAAATTGTGGTTTACAAGGGGACGACCAGGTTGATGTATCACGAATTTGGACCAAACTGTTTTAGTGATTCCAAAATATCGGACATTTATCCGCCCCTTCTTGTAAATAGGCACTGATTTTGCCAAAAAAAATTGAAAGTTGAAATTTTCCGTTTTTTAAATATTTTTATTTTGCCGTTCTTCTTACTCGAATCAATCGGCGAATAGATCATTTTACAGCATTTTTTATATAGATTGCAATAAAAATATAATAAAAGCAGTCAAACTTTATCAGTAACTAAAAAATTTCTAAAAACTAAATATTTTCACGTAAAGTAGGTCATAAAATGTTTTTCGCGAGAGTTAATGAATGGGACAATGAAGCTTTTTTCAAAATCTAATTTTAGTCGTAATTAAATGATCATAAATCGGTATTTAGAGATTAAAAAATATTATTTTTAGTGTATTCATTTCATCGTTGGTTAAGATAAAGACAAAAATGTTCTATGACGCAAACATTCTAATTTGGTATGAATTAAAAAGATAAATCAACAAAATACTGCTTTCTTTGCATATTATAATAAACATTCTGTAAGTAAAGTAGGTCAGAAAATGATAAGATTGATGATTGGATTTGACCTAATTATCCTGATTCTAGCTTATAAAACCTTTAAATACCGACATTCGCGGAAATGGGTGTAAATTAATTTTTTGACTGATAATTTCGACGACCTAAAAGCGTGACTGACATTCCTAGTGCAAGCTCTAACTTTTTTTTTTAAATACCTAGGGGACCGATTTTCATGGTTGATTCGTTTTAAAGAAATTGTCGAGTGCATTTTTTAACTGTACCAAACATTAAAATTGGACTATTATTTCCATTTCAAAAACGAGGTTAATTTCTGACAAAAATATTTTCTTATTTTATGTATTTTCTTACAGAAATCTTTTATAAATTTTTATGGTACATACGTCTTTCAAAAGCTATGTTTTTCTTCTTTCAAATGGTATGTTTTACGTTAAAATCCTTTTAGCCGGTTTTGAATTAAAGCCGTTTCAATCAGATATTCCGAGAATGACTTCTTAAATCGGAAAAATTTTAGGCTTAATAAAAATCGGTAAATTTAAAATCAAACAAAAATTATTTAAGAGTTTCTAGAGGTGTTAAACGAAATTTCATATTAGTTTCACGAGAAAAAAATGTATAACCTAATTTACTTTGAACAATATTTGATTTTTTTTAAATTTTTGGTTATTGATAAACTTTGATTGTTTTAACTATATTTTTATTGCAATCTACGTAAAAAATGCTGTAAAATGATATATTCACATATTTGATTTGACTAAATAGAACGATAGAAATAAAAATATTAAAAAACGGAAAATTTCAACCAGAGCCTATTCACAAGAAGTGGCGGATACATGTCCGATATTTTGGAATGTAGAATCACTAAAAATAGTTTGGTGTAAATCCTGACACGCCAACCTGGTCGTCCCCTTGTTAGATTAAATAAACTTTAGTTAGTCAGCAATTGATAGATTGTATTATATGTATTGATCAAGGCCTGATTAAGCATGTTTCATTTGTCTTGTTTCCTCTAGAGACATGGGTGTATGTGTGCAGCAGAACAGCAAAGGTCCTAAAATGCTACTCTGTGAGACACCAGACAAAACACTAGTTAGCTCTTGGCACCTTTGCATAAATAAAAAGTTTTTGATTAAGTAATTTTTTTTAAATCAGCATTATATTCATTGATCAAGGACAATCTAAGTATTTGCAGTCTTTATTGTTACCTTTGGAGGTAAAGGTGTAAAGCAGACAATGCTACTCTGTGAGACACCAGACAAAATGTATCTACTAGAATTAGACCTTGCCACTGCATTAAAAACGGACTTTCGCATAAATTGAAGATTTTTAGGAGGTTTTTAATTTATTAAATTTTAGTTAATCAGTATTATATTCCTTGATCAAGGCAGTCTAGGTATTTGTGGTTTTTATTTGTTACCTTTGGAGGCAATAGGTGTATAGCAGACACAGCAAAGGTCCTAAAATGTTTCCCTGTGAGACATCAGACAAAATATACCTACAAGAACAAGATAGCACTTAGCATTCATTAAAAAGGAGTTTTCACATTTCGTTTACATTTCAAGAAAGTGTGGCTTTGATTTAATAAGTTGTTATTATCCGGTTGACAATAGATCACTTATGAACTTACGGATCAAAGGCAGTCTAAGCTTCGTTTTTCTTGTTTCTTCAGAGGCATAGGTGAACAGCAAATTCAGAAATAGTCTTAATATACAATTGTGCAGAACACTGGATGAAATATAGGCAATAGAACTTTCTCAATAGTGTTAGTTCATCAGTTCTCCTTAGTAGCCTTCTAAAGCCAATAAATTCAATATATGTCAATATATTTTGTTAAGAAGATTACATAGAACATTCTTCAGATATTCACACTAAATTCAGTTATTTTAAAGTCAAATAATGTTAAATCAAATGAGCTGTCAGTGAATGAAGGGCCAAACAACGTGAGACTGGTATGATTAAAATGATTAATGTTGAGAAAAAATTCTAGTATGTGAATTGGTCATTTCCAAATTGAAGGAAATGTTTAGCAATTTTTAATATTCTCCACAATTGCAAATCACTCTGTCACTTGTAACTCATAAATTAAATATATTGAAGTTAGTATAATTTAAATCTAACTTCAAAATTTTTCAAGTCAATAGAATTTCGATTTATTTTGTAATGATGATGTAATTATCAAACTAATGCCATTAGTGAAAAACTATTTTTCTATTTTAGGTGAATTTTCATTACTGCAAGTCAATTTCAACCTAAGGAGACACACCGGCTACTTTCTGATACAGGTGTATGTCCCTTGTATTTTGATTGTTGTCCTCTCCTGGGTGTCCTTTTGGATCCACCGGGAGGCTACGAGCGACAGAGTTGGATTATGTTAGTCAATGGCACTTACATGTTATTTAAATTATTTTTAAACTATTGTAATAACAGTTACTAGTAAGAGACCAATTTGCGGCCCAATTCACAGGCATCACTACCGTCCTGACCCTTTCGACCATCGGGCTCGACAGCAGAACAGACTTGCCCAAAGTTAGGTACGCTACAGCCCTCGATTGGTTCCTTCTTATGAGTTTCTTTTACTGCATTGCAACTTTATTGGAATTTGCTGGAGTCCACTATTTCACCAAGGTAATTATTAACATGATGTATAAAGACTCAAATTATGGAACAATTAACTAAATGTAAAAGATTTTTTATTTTTCAGGTGGGAAGTGGAGAAATACCAATAGACGAAGACGAGTGGGAGGACGAGGAAGAGTCTATGACAATAGAGAATGCTGATTCATCTATCGTCACTTTGGCCAATCGTCCCATGAGGAGAAAGAGCTCACTCATCTGCCCAATTTACAACGTGAGAAAATAAAAAGTTTACACCACCAGATGTAACATTTAAAAGCCTCTACCCTAGGATCTGGCAATTGGGAATTCCCCTAGAAGGCTGTCGTTCAGCAACATTATCAACACATCTCCAAAAGTACCAAGCCGCTCCACCATGGAAAGGCAAACCCAGACTGAGACTAGAGTCCCTAGATGGAAACAGTTGATGTACTGCTTAGGTAATTTATACCTATTTGTTGTTAAATCAATTATGTAATTTGTTTCATGAATTTTAGTCGGTGATGAGAGGTACAGGAGAGAAAGACAGAGAGAAGCTGCAAAGGGGACTTCTCACAAAGGAGTGAACAGCGTTTCATACATTGACAGAGCTGCGAGAATACTCTTTCCAACATCATTCGCATTCCTTAATGTTATTTACTGGCTGCTGTATTTCCGTTATCATCAACAATTCACTTGGAAACAACTTCCACCCGGACTCTAGTCATTGTTATTTAGGAAAAACTTTTAGCATACTAGTAAAGTTTATTTAATTTATTCCTAGCTAAAGTTCCTTTACATTTGAAGCTTGACAAAAATTTTGTAAAAAAGCGCATGATTCATTTTTCTTTCTCTTCAAACAAACAATCTATAATTTACAATAGGTCCAACCTCACAATATTACAATTTTATTATTTTAACCTGCTCAATATGTCAAAACTTTCTAAAATCAGAATATTCCTTTCAGGTTAGTGTGAACTTAACAATTGTTAAATTGCAAACACCTCAATTTTATCATCATTTCCAACTAGATATAGCATTTATTGTTATAAAATTAGTTTCAAAATTTATATTAAGTATAGTTAATAGTAAAAATAAGTTCTTGAAAAGAGTAACAAGTTATGACAACTTGGTCCATTTTCTGCTATTTTGGATATGATTTATTTTGAGGAAAAACCATGTTTTACATTGACCAACATATTGAAAAAAATAAAAGACAAGGGAAAAGAAAAAGACAAATCAAGGTGTTATAACAATTAAAATAGATGAAAGTATATTAAAAAAATGAACATTCAAAGAAGTAATTATTTGTCATTTGTATACTTTCCTCATTGTATATTATCAAGGCATTATATAAGTTACCTCTAATCTCGCTTTTTTTTCACCAAATTATTAGTACTTGTAATATGAAAAAGAATATGTAAAATTTGTTGTCAACATATTAAATGGTTAAAACAGTTTCAAATTATTTTAAAGTTTGTAATTTCTTGTATTTGAAATATGCCTTTCTAAAGATGCAATTGTTCTGACTAGAAAATAGATACTTTTTCTTAGCTTTATGGCTACCAAACTCTATTGAACATTAATAGCCCTCTCTTTCTTTGCTTTTCTTTTCCTGTCTTTCTTTCATTTTAATTCAACTATATACGTCGAAAGAGAGGTAGAGAAAGACAGAGAAAGGGAATGATGGTGATAGATACATAAGTAGAGAGAAAGAAAGGAAGAGGGAAAGAGTGAGAGAAAGAAAAGGGAACGAAAATAAGAGAAAAAGTTAGAGGTAGGAGTGAGATAATAGATATACATAGAGATAAGTAGACATACATATAAAAAGAAAACGAGAATGTTGGAGATAAAAAGACAGAGGGAGAGAGAGAGAAAAATTGAGAGAAAGTAAGAAGAGAGAGAGAGAGAGAGAGAGAGAGAGAGAGAGAGTGAGTGAGAGAGAGAGATGAGAAAAGATAGGTAAATAGAGTTAGAAAGAAAGAAAAGTAAGAGAAAAGAGATGAGAGTAAGAGATAAAAATAGAGAAAAATATCTGATGGAGGTAGATAGAAACAGGTAGACAGAAAGCGAGAGAGAGGGAACGATAGTGAAAGAAAAATAGATAGATAGAGATGGATGGATGGATAGATATTTAGGGTGAGTGAGTGAGTGAGTGAGTGAGTGAGTGAGTGAGTGAGTGAGAGAGTGTGAGAGAGCGAGAGTGAGAGAGAGAGAATGAGAGAGATAGATAGAAAGATGATGGAGATATAGATAGATCGAAAAAGAAAATGAATGAATGTGAGGAAGGGAGTGTGAGAAAGATAACTAAAGAAAGGTATTTATATAGAAATAGAAATAGTGGTAGAGAATGAGAAAGAAATTAAGTGAGAGTGGTTTAACTGTTACGTCACAGCATATTGATTGTCGTCTCCCAAGCATTGTTTCATCATGGTCATGGGTGATATCTCATGAGTGATGGATAAGGTCAGCTGGTCCTATCACTGTAACGTCTGAGTCTGATCTTTCTCAAGCCGGGCTTTTGCTATATTTTTAACAGTTGTGATATTTTTTGTGGGTGAGACGATTAATACGTGTAAAGGGTATCGTGATGAAATGAGAGCCGCGGTAGACGGAAATGAGATCATTCTGGGTGAATCACCCGGTGTTTTGAAGGGGAACATTCACCTCGTCGTCAATCGATATTTTGACGGGTCCGTCCGAAAGAGCCGAGTCGGCTATTCAAAATATGAAGTCGAGGACGTGGAAAAACCCCTGACCGATGGAGGAAGTTGTGAGCGGCACGAAAAAATCACCGTCGAGATGCCGTCGGAGACTGCAAGGATTGAGCCATTTTTTGGGAAGGAACAAACGAATCGGCTGCCTGCCCATGCCGAATAACGACAGCGTCGAAAAGATATCCTCGAGCCAAGAGGGCGACCTCGAAATTAAAGGGGTCCTGCCCAAAAAAGAACGGGACCGCTCGTCATCCAAGGAGGCGGCACCAGACCAGAACAACCAGACAAGCACTAACGTCTCACTTTGCTGCGCTATCACGGAAAACTCCCGGACTCCGGTTCACGTCCAGGCCAGGTCCAGGGCGGAGAGAAATCACGACATGAACAACATTGTCATGAATACAGATTCTCACAACAACGGCTCTGATGAAATTAAGTACGTAAGTAACAATACAGTCGGATACAAAAAATACACGACGTCGAACAATGATGACTTTCAATGTTAAAAATTGACGAAAGAAAAATTGGACACAATACACAAAAATACGCTCTTATTTTTTTATTCAGATTTTAGATTTGCAAAATAGCATTTTTTCTCAATTTTTGTAAGAATAAAGTCATAATCATGTTTTATTAAACTTTATATCATAATCTTAAGAATGACAATCCACTTATTAGATCTTCGCTTTCTCAAGGAGCTCCCAATCCATTGCAGTTGCTCTCTAGTTCAACATAATGAGTTCTTGGCATCCTGCCTTATGTCGTCCAACTATCATAGCTTTGGACATCAATTACCATGTAAATTTTCATGTGGAAAGAAGTTCGTCGCTATTTCCTTGCTGCATGACCTGCCCATCTGAGCCTTGATAGCCCTATAAACCTGATTACGTCAAATTGTGCCTCTGTTCCCATTGGTCAGTCACTAACTAACATACAATGAAGAATTTTTCTTTCAGAGCTAGGTATTCCTTGTGTCTATTTTAGAAAGTGATAATCCTTACATGGGCACCCTCAACACGACACACAAGAATGGCGCAATTACACAGAAAACAAACACTTTGAGCCCTGAAGATGATCTCAATAAAGATCGAAACGTTGGCACGATAAAGAAAATGTTTTTCTGAAACCTACATCACACCAGACCGCATCTCACGATCTCTGAATAATAATCCTTAGACCTGGCAACTACAAGGCCCAAAACTTTAACTTTGTCATTTTCATAAGGTGACACTTTTCTTTTGCTTAACTAGTGCAAAGTCTTTACTTGCAGAAGTTATGCTGTTTTGTAAGTAATCTGACGTGATATAGTCGGCAGCTCCAGTGGATATAGCTATGTCAGTTCAGCCCCAATACTTTCAGTTTCTAAATCTAAACCACTGACCTATCACATTCTTAAATACATTTTTTCCTAATTTATACCAGGGGACATGCTAGTGAACCTGGGTTCAAATCTCAGCACACTGCATGGTTTTTTATATTTCACTATTGGCTAATAAATACATACAATTTCAATTAATTATTCTTTTTATTTAAGGTCTTGGTTGAGATGAAAAAGTTTAGTGTCACGAGCAGGATTCGAAGGTCATGGGTTTGAATCCCGCTTGTGATTCTAACTTTTTCATCTCAACCTTACAGGAAAAGAATAATTAATTAAAATAATTAATACGGTCAATTAGACCACTAAACAAAATAAATTAAAATACATACAATGTTACATACACAAAATGAAATAGTCTTCACTATAGACTATAGATAGTTTTGATTTTTTATTTATTTTATTTATTTTTATTTTTTTAGTTTTTAAGCGGTAATTTGATTTATTATGGAACCCTTATAAATTAGATATAAGATAGATATAGACTATAGATAGTTTTATTTTTAATTTTTATTTTTAATTTTTTTTATTTATATTTATTTTTTTAGTTTTTAAGCGGTAATTTGATTTATTATGGAACCCTTATAAATTATAACGATAGTTGGAAAAAGCACTTTTTCCTATAAGCCCACTTCGGTGCCTCTCTGTGCTCCTCTTTTGGAATGAAAATCGTCTTACCGAAGTGGCTGTATCATAACCTTGCTAATACTTCACATTCACAAAGGATGCTTTCGATGTAGCTGGTTCCTCATGACAGAGTCGGTATGTTTCTGTCTCTGCTCTGCCCTTCTTTATGTGGTAGTTGAAAGGGCAGTGGCTGGTATATAGAGGCCTATAATTTCCTCAAATCCTGCCTGCTGAGTTCTTTTTTGAGAAAGTTATAAATCTCTTAGCTTGCCTCATACTTGTGCTTTTGACCAAGGCTTGAGTTTTTCTTTCTCAAGCTATTTTTACAGTTTGGAGTTGAAAGCGTAAACATTTAATGCTTTATAGATGCCTGACTGTCTGATAGTATGCAAATCTGTGCATCTTTAATATTTTTCTTTATTAATTACTGTGAACAGAGTTTTATTGCATGAACCTCAGCTTTGAAAATTGTTGAGATTAATCTAAGGGTCTTTGGTAAGATTTAGTTTTTTTATCATACACCTATTCTCTCTGTTCCATCTGTGTACCTTTTAGGTACCTCCTGAAACTTGAGACTGTTATTTCAATTACAGGATAAAAAAAAATTTATTGTTTTTGAACGAAACTAGCAAATTTTCTGTTTAGTTTTGACCATTTATGGCTTATCGATTTTATTGCTTTAAAAGGAAAAGAAATAAATCTCTAAAATGACAGAACCTAAGTAATACAGATTCACTTAGCTTCTCAATTCTGTAAGCGCCGAACTGCACATACTTTTCATCTCCTATATCTTGGCCATAGACCATATATTTGTTTTTTTGAGGGGTTCACAGCTAGCCCAAGTCTTCAGGTCATTATCTCCAAAGATAAAAAAGCTTCTTCTACCCCTTAATGAGGAACATCGACTAGTCTATTAAATTCAGTTCCTGTGGTTTGAGCGTCTCAATCACAGATTGCTTTCTCTAATAGACATGCTAATCCATGCTCTCTTCCTGTCTGGAAGCCCTCAGACATCTCTTGTATGCGGCCATTATATTCCACATTAGCTATAGTTAGTTAGTCAGTCTTACAAGTTTAATTTGGATTCGTAAGTACTTCATCGCCTAATATAGCAATCTCAGGTAACACAGTGTGTGTCATTCACTGATTTAAAATCCATAAGTTGATGGTTTTTAATTTCAAGAACTTCTCTGCCAATCTGGCAAGACATCGAGGAGTGTTGGTGGCCGCATTTTTTCCCCAAAAATATCAGCGCTTCGAGGATTCATACAACCTCATAATTGAAATATCCTCATAAAAAATAATAAGTAATAATTCATGAACTGAGAGTGTTTGACTAGTTTCTCTTTTTCATTTGTAATAATTACAGGTAACAAACCATTTCTATTTTCACTACTCTCCAACTGGGTTCAAGCCTTATTATTATTATTATTATTATTATTATTATTATTGCCACCTAAGAGCACCATAAAATGGTAAAATTCGGTGTTTTAGGTGATTTTTCGTCTAGTTTTATCTCCTAATTTTTGGGCTCTCGATTTCAAATCTTTAATGTGTGTTTAAACATAATTTTGTCCACTATTTCATTACTATTTTTTGTGTGTAAGAATATTTTTTGTCCTTAAATAATTTTAATTTAATGCCTTTATATAGTTTGAATTTAGACTATTGAATATTGAATTTTTGTTTTTTAGCTTTATAACAAAACAAAATTATCTTGTTGTTTTATTATATTTATTATCAAAAGGTTTTCATCTTTTGGTACTTTTTGTTTTAGTACTTCACCAGCTACCGGATTTTCGCTTAATTCATCATTTAATAATAAGCTTCCTCCTAATGGGCTTATTGCACCGAAAGAAAATCCCAAGTTGGTCGTCGAGCCTTCCATGACTCAGTCGCACGTTCAGCAAATGGCAAAGGCTAAAAGATCGCACCGGAGATCGTTCAGTTTGAGCAAAAGTATTTTTTCATCGGCGGAGAAAACCGGTGAAAAGAATAACTCGCTGTCATCGACTCCTGGGCCGTCTCCAGAAGGTTCCCCCTTGTTGACTGCACACTCGAGTAATATAAATAAGTGTCTCCTTTCAAGACAATCGGTGGATAACATAGTGATATCGTCAAGTACATCTTCTCCTCTTTCAACAAGGAGCAATCCTCCAAATGACGATGTCAAGAAGAAGAAAACTCGCCCAGCTTCTCTCATAGTACTATCACGCAAAGACAAGGGCGAGCCTTCAAGAACAGCTTCTATGGACAGTTTAGCGAGGCAGTCACTTCTTGCAGCCCAAGTGCTTCACCTTATACCATCAAACAAAGCTCGTGAAAGGTAATCAATATTAATAAAAATATATAATTTGATTATCATTCAATTGGCATGAATTTGTAAATCTAATTTTATCACTAAATGTTATTGGAAACAGTTTAGTGCATAGGTGGAAATAGAAGACAAGAAAAATCAAGGAAAAAGAAGTCTTAACATTTTTTACACGTCAAATATAAAACAATCAAGAAGATTGAAGTTTAAATAATAATTACATAATAAACATTGAAATGTTTTGGTTGTTATTATTCACTTACAAGTCACAAGTATAAAAAAGTCAATATGATTATTGATCTTAGATAATGACCACTCAGAAAGTTCATCTAACAATTCTGGCTAGTATTTAAAACTCAAAAATGACATTTTATTACATATATAACTAACATTGTCTAACATCTGGGCCACATTGTATGATTACTGTTATTTAATTAGTTATCTGTTCATTATTAATTATTGTTTCCAATTTTTATTCAAAGACAGTTGTGAAGAAAAATTGTGTTCAGCTGAACCTTGTGGGTTCAAACCCTGCTCATGACACTTTTCTCAGCCGTCATTGCATAAAAATTGGAAATAATGACTAATGTTATTAGGCCGAGGTAGGATGGGGAACCATGGTAACCGAGTGAATAGTGTGTCAGGCTCTCAGCTTGTATGAACCTTGTTCATAGGTTCAATTCCTACCGTCACCTGTCACCGCTGGAATGTTTGACCTGTTTCCCACAACCCAAAAATATGATATATACTTTGTATGTACTCTGGCTGATATAAAAAACATAAGGCCGTTAAAAAATAATAATAATGATAATAAATAAAATGCTATCAAGCCACAGTTAGTTTAAAATTCTCTTTTAATTTATCAAAATTTACATTGAAGTAAATTGCTGCATTAGATAAAATATTTTCCACTATTCCCTCATGTATGTCCAATAAATTTTGCAAAATGTTATTGAAATAATGTTCATACTGATCTAACTTTCCAGGATAATGGGATGCAGATAGAAACTTAAGTGTTTCAAATTGCAAGATACTAATCAATGTAAATTTTCTACAAGGTTTTTTGACCCAGAACGAAAAAGAAAATTTTTGCAAAAATTTCCTCAAATAACATCGATTAACAGGATGCTCTGGATATAACTCATTAAAGCACGATTCAGCCTTGTGCAAATTTTGGTCCTTTTTCCCTCCAATCACCTCCAGTTTTTCTTGAAATGTACCAGACATTTTTACAATTTGTATAACGAGTCAAAGAAGATAAACTTTAGTGTGATGGTTTTTAAGATAAATGTTAACTATGTACTATGTACTAAAATCAAAGCTCAACAAATCAATTTTTATTTGTTTTTCAAACATTAATTTCTTGAAGTTTGTGGATGGAAATTTGCATCAGGCTGAATCACGCTTTAATGAGCTACAGACAATCCTGTTAATTGATGTCATTTGAGGAAATTGTTGCAAAATTTTTCTATCGGTACCATGAGCAAGTAATTCACTATCAACTAAAATGGTAAATAAGTGAATGGGTTATTGGTTGAAGAAATTGAAAAATTCAGTTTATGCGAAAAACTTTTTGGAAAACATTACTTGCAAATAACTTGAGGATGGTTGCTCAAAATTAAAAACAGTTTGTACTATCGAATTCAACACCAAAAAAAATAAATCTTTAAGAATTATTTATTGAGTACCTAACCATTTGAAAAAAATTAACTTGCATACCCATTATCAGAGAGTTTGATCAAAATTATTTGTTTCGTGAGAAACTAGAAAAAAAAATAAAAGTTTACGTTTCTCGGGATTTCTATAACACCCCAATATAAATGTAAAAAATATAGATGGGGACAGAAGTTAAACTCACCCTACATTCTTTTTGCTAAAAGTATCACAAATACATACTTTAAACAAATTAAAATTAAATTCTTTCCAATTTTTATTTTGAGATAAAAATGGTCTTCTTGCAAAAACTATCAAAGATAATAGTGTTAAGGAATAAGAATAGGAAAATGATTCAACAATTTGCAACCAGAAGAGAGAGAAAGAGACCTGAACTCTCTGTTCACCTCCCCTTTTTTTTCAACCCTGATGTTCCGACTTCGACCATCTATAAAGTGTTGAGGACCATGGTGGTTGTTTAGAAACCTAAGGTGTTAAGGTGATTCTGGTATTTGAAGGCAAAAACAACTAATATAAATTTTAAAAAAAATGAAAAATGAGATTTCAGAAAGAATCATATGAAAGATTATGTGTTAAGGGATAAGAATAGGAGAGTAACTCACCAATTTTCAACAAGAAGGAGAAGAAAGATCTGAGCTTTTTCACCTATCCTTTTATATGGCTCCGATGTTCGACCATGTCCACCTTTAAATCAATGGACCTACACTAATTGTACATTGCTGTCATGATTCATAAATTTAAAAGAAAACCAGAAAAAAAGTATGCATAATTTTCCAATTACCATTACATGAGTCAATTCATAAAAAGTAATCACAGTACATACTATAAAATGTCTTGTGGACCATGGTGGCCAAGTAGTTAATGCATCAGACTCTAATATTTGCCATGCTAGCAGTTCTGGGTTTCAATCTCGACATTACCTTAGGAAGTTTAATTGAAAATTAAAGTGGTCTAACTTCTTGCCCCCAAAATGGACAGTTGGAACCCTCTTTAATGTCAGGAATTATTTTGTGCCGAAAGTGAAAAAAGTATTTAACAAAAATTTGCCTGTTTAAGTAATAAAACTTACTTTAAAAGAGAGAATTAGAAAGTATGTCTGGTTTGATGGAAGCTGTTATAATTCCCAGTGTGTCCTCACATTATTTATTTTATTTTCCAACTTTAATCTTAGTATCACTTTACAAATATTACGGTTAATGAATTTCGAATGACAGATATTTTTTTTAATTAGTACATTTTTTAAAATCTTTTGTGGCCAAAAAGGGAAGATGGTGGGGTCGTACATGTGATTTTGAAATTTTAATATTTCTATTTTTTAATAAAGCATTTATTAGTTTTCAGTGCAAACTACTATTACTCCTGCTTTACTTTAAATTTTAATGTACAGTTTAACATTTGTAACTATAATAGTGCTATCTATTTATTTGAAAAGTAATTAATTAATAATCAAGTTTATTTTGTTTTCTTTAAATTTAACCTTCTTATTTGTTTTTATTTATTTTTTTGAAAATAGTGTTTTATTTGTAAAATTTTGTATGTTCCTTTTTGAAAGTCTTTGAGTAGCTTAAAGTAAAAATTTTAGTATGCAGGCAAAAATTGAGCTAAAAACAACAATTTTCAGAAATTGGTATATTTGTAATCTATTTTAAAAATGTAGCTGGGTTTTGTGTAATTATTGACAATTAATGTAATTGATTAAAGTTGTAATGTAAAATTCCTTGCACAGTTGTATGTGTGTTTAGGAATTTTCTGTGTGGTCGAATCGCTGCTAACTCTCTTCTTGGTAATGTTGAGTTAGAGAGAGTGTTACCACAGAGAGAAGTTAGGATATATGTCGCTACTTGGAATATGAATGGCCAGGTTAGTTTGTGTGTGAAAGGCTATTAATACCAACCATGTTTAGATTTTAGAAGAAAAAAACTACTTTGGGCATGAATTAGAGTTGGCATTTAGAAATAGATATACCATCCGAAAACACTATTGGTTCAGTGCACCTAAGATAATTGGATGCTTACTTAGGCACACAACAGAATGTATTGGCTTGTAGAATTCCTGCCATATTATTTTTATTTGGATTTTTATGAATTGTAATAATTCACCTTAATAACCCACTACCTTTATTTTGTACACTATCACTTAGAATTAGCAAAATTCCATTTTTACCATTATTGTTTTGTTTTTAATTCTTCACCTTATTCAACAGTTTTTTAAATGTTTAAATTAGCTTAAATTAATAACATATTAAAACGTATATGTACATGTACTAGCTTATTTTAGTAACATTGAGTGTCTTGACAAAAATGATCTTTTACCAATTATATACAGGGTACATCAGAATTCCATAATTACACTAGCACATTATTATAGACTACTTAGAAAACTATTTGACACCATATCACTACAGAACACCTCATTTATACATCAGTGTTCAGTGGTTGGTTCAACCAAGCGTTCGTGCCAAAAGAATCCTCTAGTCCAAAATTTTTCAGTGCAAGCTTACTACTTTGTATCTAACCACCAAGAAGGTGATACAGATGCCTTCATAAAACCCTAGACCCTCATCTCAACCCCCTAGTCAAGTTCAACCCGAACCTTTCCCAACAGTCCTCTAAGATGCCTTAAGTGGCTTCAAGATTTCTTCCCTAGTGAGGGAAGTGAATAGAGTTGTGATAGGAGTAGAATTAATGGATTGCATCTTCATTCTTATACTCATAAATACAACAAAGTTGCTTGTAGTGCTCTAGCACTGTTGTAACATAATAATAAAACAAACAGAAAAGTTTTCTAAAGTTTTAAAATGAAATAATTTATTATGATTTACATTGCTTGGGAATTCTGAGACCCCATGTATTTCGTTTAAGTTGCATCCAGACCTTAAAGAAATTTGTAACAACAGTTTGAAAAATATTAATTTATAATTTGAGGGGGAGGGGGGAATTCAATTTAAGAATAAATTTTAATTCATCATGTATCAATCATAAAGTATGAATTAGTGATGGTGAATAGTAAATTCATTCTACTGTTTTACATAGAAAATTTTTAACCTAATTAAAACATGTACACTGACTTGGAACCATTTAATTTGATAAACTTTTCTCTTTTTTTTCTTATAAGTGCATGTTTAGTTGCGTCCTTTTAAATTGTTTGAAAAAATTGTCTAGTTGTTTGTAACACAGCACTCGATGTTTCTGGTGTGACAAACAACATTTGACCTGACCCTACAATTCCTACAAACACATTTTTATTTGTTTAATAGAGCATTTATTTAAGAATAAAAAAAGCTCTCAATTTTGAAAATGAATTGGTTTTAGTATATTTAGTGTAAATAGGCTTGCATTAATTTTTATGTAATTTTGAAAAACCTGCGGTTCGAATGTTTCTGGTCATTCAAATCTGCCTATCCTCACTGTTTTATTCTGTCCGATACGTTTTGACATTTCACCATCTTCACTGGGATTTTTGTCTTTCCCCTGCAAAATGTTGAAATGTACCTACCAGCCAGAAGTAACAAGAATAGTTAGATTATGATGACGGAACCTATGAACCTACAGGTTCATCATCCCACAGATCTCAAGAAATCTCACAATTCTTAAAAGTTTTGTATTTCTCAAATAAGACATCTTGTTTTTAAATAATTATTTATTCATTTATTACATTTTATTACTTGTTTGTTTTTAACTAAAATATAATAAAAATACAATGGATTAAGAATGGTGACATTTGTGTCCTCTTTTTTATATAAATTTTTATTGTATGATAAATGACTGTTTTTATTTCAGGCATTTTTATTTATATTTTCTTCCAATTGTTTGTTGGTTTTCAATAGTTTTTCCTATTGTTTTATAATATAAAATAAATGTTATAATATATCTTAACACTTTTCAGATATCTCACTTAATCTATTTATATTATTTTTTGATGATGATATATTATTTTTTTATTTTTTCAGAATTGCTTGTTTCGTTGCAATTCATTTGCACATTGCTAGAAGTTGAATATTTTTTATATTGTGGCATTGGCATAGAATAGATTTTAAAAAATTAATGATTACAAGAAGCCATCATATTTAAAATTTGTACGGCACTTTCAAAACATTAGCTGCTTACGCACCCTTTTCTGTATTTTTTTGGATATTTTTGTGAGCTTTGTGGAACTGTCAAACAACTATGCGACCTTGTTAAATGTCAACACTTTGTAAACATTTGTTTTTAAACATTATTTTCTTATGAGGCAATTTATATTTTGGCCTTTTTTGTTAAAAACATAATAATGTGAAAATAATTAGGGGAAATGATTTATGTATCACAAAAAAAATAGTTTAGATTAAAATTAAATCATAATTAATTATTTTGGATTTAGTTAATTTTCTGTCATCGATTAAAGACAGGCATTAGGCAAATTTAAATTTTACTTACAACGTTTTGTTTTTAACTATCACCGTCACAATGTTCCTCGACTTTTTCAATCTTATATTAAAATATTTAAATAGCCATTTTTAATATTCATGAATGTGATTCTGCATTAAAAGTTTTATACGGAAACCAAATATTCAGAATTGTTAAATTGATTAACAATGTGTTAATTATATATAAAAATAAATTAAATGTATACATAATTTAACTTGTAATGTTTTTATTTTATTGTTTATTTATTTATTTTTTTCATTTTATTGTTCCATCTTGTTCTGAACTTGCATGTCTTGGACGACAAAATTATATAAGAAATTCATTCAACTTTTAGAAATATTTGTATCATAGATTTTTGCAAGTCGATTGTTTTCTCCTTTACTTTCTTTGTTTTTTCTTGCTGTTTTTTAGGCTCCGCCACAAGGTTTAAATTCGCTTTTATTGCCAGAAGGAGTGCCTCACGTCCCTGACATTGTTGTTGTCGGAACTCAAGAAAGCTACCCCGAGAAAGGTCAGTGGGAAGTGACTCTTCAGGAAACTTTAGGACCGTCGCACGTCCTTTTCCACTCGTCCAGCTTTGGGACCTTACACATTGCGATCTTTCTTCGCAGGGATCTCATATGGTTTTGTTCAGGTATTCGGATAATGATAATGCTTTACCATTTTGATGAGTAAAAAACCAACTTTGATTCAGTTGCCGATGAAGCCACTTATAGTGTAAGGCCTGGGACTGCATTCAGGACAAAAGGAGCAATAGCCGTCGCGTTCTATCTCTTTGGAACAACGTTTTTATTCCTTACATGCCATCTCACAGCTCATCAAGATAAGGTTAAAGAAAGGCTTCAAGATATAAGAAGGATAGTCAAAGCTCTTGAATTGCCAAATAGACTCACGTGCAGGCATAAAAATAAAGGTAAATAAACACAACAAATGTATTAATTGAATTTAACATTCAATTTTTGTTGCAAAGATGTTACAGACAATTTCGACTATGTTTTCTGGAGTGGAGACTTAAACTTCAGACTCACCAGACCGAGGGAAGAAGTTATAGACTGGGTCTCGCAGAAAACTTTTCCATTGTCAGAACCTGCACAGTGTACTCCTGGAGACCAATTAACAGACAGTATAGTCGACGGTAAGAAGCTACTTTTAATATGCAATAAATTAATAAACTGCTATAAAACACGTGTTATATCAATAATTTTTTTTTTAAATTTATTTTTAAGTAAAATGATGGGAATGTAAATAAAAATAAAGATTTTTCAAAAAGCACACTTCACTTTTATATTTTTTTATGATCTATTCTTTCTCACATTTTGCACATTTGTAGGATTTTCTTAATTTTTAAATGTAACGTTTTTCATGATGGTGCAAGTTTAGAATTAATTCAATTAATTATTCTTTTTGCCCAAAGTCTTCTAATTGAAATAATTAATATGATCAATTATGACTGCTAAACTTGTATTGATTAATATTTAGAATTAATATTGATTACTGGCTGATCTTTCCCTTCAAAGTCCATTATTTTACAAGTTTTACCAATTTTCAGGTAGTATTTTAAAGGGTTTTGAAGAAGGCCCTTTAACATTTGCTCCGACTTACAAGTATGATCCAGGCTCTATGAATTTTGACACATCAAACAAACAGAGGGTGCCTTCATATACGGATCGTATTTTGTACAAGACAAAAAGAATTGGATCTGAAAATGCAGTCGAGTGTTTAGCTTACAGTTCCGTGCCTTCGGTTTGCACTTCAGATCATAAACCGGTCTGGGGTTTGTATAGATGTCCGATAAGACCAGGAATTGATACGTAAGTCATTAAACCGTTATTATTTATAAGATTATTTACCGATATTTTTTTTTTTAATTTTAGCATACCGTTAAATGCAGGATTGTTTAATAGAGAGATATATCTTGAAGCGATAAAGCGGCGAGCTTCTGCTTTAGATCAACAGGATTCTACTTCTGCAGTCTGTTCTATACAGTAGCCTTTTTGTTAATAAATGTTAAAGTTAATCTTGAATCGAAGATATATTTTTTAAAATCGAAAATAAAGGCTGACAGTTGTTTTAGCTTTTGAAAAAAAAATCTTTATGGTAAATCCAAATTTTAATACAATATCTATATAATATATTCTTGTCAGTTTAACTTCGAACATTCTTAAACCTCTTGGAAACTCAATATTACACTAAGGAAAACAAAAAGCAATATATTTATTTGTAAATTAATTTTAACTAAGTTTATTTTTTTAAATGGTTATTAATTAATTTTAAATAAAATCCATATGTTTAATACAACAAATTTTTAGTTTACCAGCTGATGGCATAATATTGAGATCCTATTTCATTCCGATGTTTTGCTCATTGTATTAATATATATAAATGGCCCTATCAATTGTATCCAGCTATTTTTAATTGTTTATTTTTGTTAGTCCAGTTTTTTATAGTTTTTCCGTATTGGGTTTGTTTGTTGTTTTGATTATTTTTATGTGTGTTTAAATGTAAAACCTTATTACATTTATTTATTCAATTTTAAGAATCACAATTTAAATAAAATCATTGGAAAGTTTGAATTTAAAAAAAAATGACCTAAGCTTTCTTTTCCACTTTATATATACAATTTTTTTCTGGTAGGTTTGCCCATTTATAAAAAGTGACAAAAAACAGATTATTTTCTCTCTATATAATAAAAATCCAAATTTTAATATGTCAAAGTACGCATTATTATTCAAATTTAAGGTACAATAAGAATTGAATGAAGTATTTTCGTGATTTTAGAAATGTACTCTTTTTAAAAATGTCCTCAATGGGAAATTTTCCATTCATTGTAACACACAATCGATACAAACTTACAATGTTTATTCTGACATGTCGGGAATTTTTTTTTTTTTTTTTGTAAGTTAAGTATACAACCCTTTTAATAATATTTGGTTCAGTCTGCACATAATATTTTCCATGAAGTTTATTAAAAAAAAAATAGACCGCTGACTCAAAGAAAAAAAGTGTGAATTGGAGGAATTAAGGAAAATAATATGCTTCCAAGTGTTAATTAAACATGACCAGATATTATAAGGGACCATTTATACCTTAATTTATTTCCTTTATATTAATTTTTGTTTTAAATTTTGCTCATGACATGAAAAATTAATATTTTAATGTATTATTTTATTTACAAAATTTGTCAATACTATATTCATTTTTACAATAAAATACTGTTATTCACGCCTTTGTATTTCGTTACCATTTAAAAATTCTAAACAGTAGGATTTAGAAGAACGTTTAAATCAAATTAAAATACTTTCTATTGAAAATTGCTATTTTTGCCTACTACCCATTGGCTGTCCTGGACCAAGAGACAAACAATACAGACCACTTTACACATTTTTCAATTAAAAAGCCATATGCTTTGCCTGGGATTCAAACCCAGGACCATTAGGGTAGTAAATGCGAGTTGGTCACTTTAACCACACGGCCAACACAGTAGTTTTTAGTGACCGATTGTTTAATAATTTATTTGATTCGTGAGGACCGGTCAATAGTGAGGTAGTTTAGAAAAACACTTTTTCATTTTTTGCTGATGTTTCATCCTTTATTCGGGTCATCTTCAGGGCCTGTGTGAATTACAAAACACGTTGATTGGAAAAAATACAATACAGATATAAATATAAACTTCGAAAGAAGTAAATATGAAGTCACGGGTGTTTTAAAGGAAACTATTATAATAGAAAGTTAAAACATAAATACATAATATTTTCTTATTTTTCAGTTTTCCCCTTTTGTAGTTGTACGGTTTGTCCCCTTTTTCACTTAAACCTTCAACTATTGTTTGACACAAAGTTAAAGTTGGTTTTATGTTCAGCTCCAGGGATATTGGCAGTCATTTCAGCTCCAAGCTCTTATGAGTAATAAAGTTAAATATATATTTGTACGCCTCGTTCTTTATTATTTTTCCTGTTTCTCCATTACCAGAAAACAAACTATGAAATAATCAAAATCATAGTCTACAGGGTAATCCCACTGCAATACATTCAAACTAAAAAAGGCAAACACAACAGACATTTACTCTAAAAAAAACAAAAAAAAACATTAATTATATAAGACTATAAACAGTTGAAGTAGCCTATTTATTTTTGAAAATTTGATCAGGAAACAAACTCGCTGATGTGCTCTGGATTGTTATTACTTTAGCCTCCTATTAAAACAAGCCATGACACCCTTACATTATTACACCGAGCAACCTTGGTATGTTGAATACACATGAGTTTTTAAGTTATTGAATAATTTATTGGATAAGTAATAATATAAATATGTACAAATAAAATAATATAAATAAATACAAATTATAAATAATAATTTATTGGATAAGATGTTTTTTTAAGAAGCAATAAACTTTTGCAAAAAACTTCAAAAGTAAAAGTAAATTCACAATCTTACACAGCCCTACTCTTCTCTTAGAAATAAATATAATATTAAAATCTTGAAGAATATTTGAAGGAATAATATGAGTAGAAAAGTTACATCAAAATGTCAATTTACAAATTTTTGATCCAATTAGATTTTGAATACAAATAAAATTATGACCAAGAAAAATCAGTCATGAGATGGAAGATAGCCCTTCTGTTGACAGTTCAGAACTTTTCAGAACTCCAGCCACGAGCAATAAACCAAGAAAAGCTTTGATCTCCAGTAGATAGTAGAAAGTATGATGGTTTGGTCATGAACTTCTGACTTCAGAGTATGTTTTTAGGAGTTCTTGCATACACACTGGTGGCAGGTTTATCAAGAGCATAGCATTTCTCCATCTTAACCAAAAATAAAATTAATTTATTTCTCTGCATTCTCCATGGGCTTTATCATAATAAGTAGAAAAGTCCTCAGATATATGTACAGGGATTCAAAAAGTTTTTGTCATCTACCGCATTATCATCATTTGATAGAATTTCATCTTATTATTCACTGCATGAATTGTCTAGTTCTTCTTCTAGTTCATCTTCTTCTTTCTTATGCAACTGACAATCCAACTCGGCTCTGATCTCTTAATCTGTAATAAAACGGTCAGTCATGTTTAAAGACAAAAAAAAATACAAAAGGGAAAAAAAATTCTAACATAAGATACACCTGGGTCATTATGAGTCATAATAAGACATCACAAAAAATAACCTAATAAGTTGTGTATAATATGCATTGGAAAACTTACCTGTTCACTTTGGCAATTTCAGGACAACTGACTAGAGGGTAGTAGGGCCCTTCTGTTCACAATTTGCATAGTGTGATGATTCAGACTAAGATCTGGATGGTGTTGGATGAGGATTATTCATTTTTATTGCTTTTAGGCTTTCTTGCCATGGAGATGGTATTTTGATTTTAAATTAAACCATTGAAACAAAAAATATAAGTGAATGTAACACTACCGCAAGTGAACATTGACTTTCTTTTGTATTGTTGCATACACATTTTTTTCTTTTTTGTTGTTCACTTTATGTATGTTTTGCATTGATGATACATATATCTCCAATGTGCCAAACGTACTACTTTCAAAAAATCTCCATCTTGTATGTTATACAGTCACATTACAGCAATACTGCGTTTACTTTATAAGATAAATTCTATTGATATTAAGATAGTTTATTTTTATTATTTTCATGAACACTAAAGTGTAGCTTTGTTAAAAATAAAAAATAAATAAGTATGATAAGCGGTAATTTATAAACTAATATATTATTACAAATTATTAAAAAAAATATATATAAAAAAAAAGCAATGCCAAACGTTTTTCACTTTGTTGGCTATTAGTTTTCATTGTGGATTCTTCACATACAATAAAAAAATAATATTGTAACAGTCAAAACATATGGTCACTCAAGTTTAAAGTAAAATAAAAAAAAATATTTAAAAAGCAATCTAAATTAACTCTTGCCCAACGTTTTCCCAACATATGTGCCGCCCTTTTTACGCTTAAGCCAACAAATTTACAGTTTCTTCCTCCAACAGAACAGAATTCCTTCAAGTCGAAACCGAACAAAACATTTTGTCTTTAGGTATTTTCACACACATGCTTTAATAATGGTGAGTCTGAAAAAATAATTAAGAAAAGGATTTACTTAACAATTTCTTTGCGATAGATAAAAACAAATAATTAAAAATAGGCAACTGTATCGACGTTAAAGGTGAGTCTTTTTTTACGAATTTTGAACAGTTTTATTGTGTTTCGGCCCGGCTCTCGTTGCCGCCGTACGTTTAGCCGCACGGCTATTTTATACGGTCAAGCCAGTTTCCCTCGCCGATTTTTCTTTTATAATACGTTTTTTGTTTTTCTCGACGAATTGGTTAGAATCGTCGATGTTGTAATTTTTCTTTTACGATTCGAATTTTTGTGCGAAAATTACATGCTGAAAGTTTTCCAGCGCTGCACGTAGCTCGAAATTCGTTTCGTTTATCCATAGGAACGTAAAAAAGATCGTCGTACTTCAGATGCCGGTAGCCGGGACGTGGTCGCGGAGGATCTTGTCAGCATTGGACTTTGGTGACTTGTGAGGATAAAAAAAGGCTTTGACATTTTTTTTTGTTTTTTTTTCTGAGGAAGGGGCTTACGAAGTGAAATTGAAGAGGGTAAAAAGTAGAAATGCGCTCGGTTATTTTCGATCGGAAATAAATCGGAGGGTTGTCGGGGTGGTGAAAATCGTCGGCCGTGGCCGTAAAATCGGCGGATCCGCGAGAGGGCTCGGCGGCCGTGCTGTCGAGTTGCGCCGTCAGCCTCGCGCATCGTCGTCAAAACATTCAACCAACTCCGCAGAAGCCATTTTGTTTATTTTCGAGGGTTCCCTTTCGAAGTGCAGAGGGAGGAAATTCATGATCGCACGATTTTGACACTTCGTAAATATTTTATATTATTTGTGTCATATATGGTCGGGTCGTTTCCCCTGGTAACAGGGGGTGAAGAAATCTGCAGACATTGGGCGAATTTCAAGTAAACCCGTCAAACTTACCGTGTCGGGTAAAAACTACTGTGTACGTGGGACTTTAAAGAAATCAAAACATTATATGTCAGTCGCGGACGAAACGATGAACCACGTCGATAAAACTCTCAAGAAAAGGCAGATGTTGGAAGACGTCGAAGAGATGGACACTCAAGAAGGTAGGTGGGAACGAGAAAAGAGGCGAAACTCGGCACCGAGGAGAGTTGACGGAAAACGCGTCCGCGGCATCCTCGCGAGCACGTTGCCAGCCGCCGGCAACTTTCCACCATTTCGTCAATGCACCCAGTCCGAGATTCGGCCCCTTTTCACCGGAATCGAGCACGAGGGAGGTTTTAGGACGTGAACCGACTCGTCGAAAATAAGGAAATCCGCCTTTCCGTAACGTTTATCCTCAACCTCAAAACCATCCGTAAATTTTTTCCCCTTAAGTTTGATTTCCTTATATATAAAAAACAAAAGGAAAATAAAAAACGAGTTCGATCCGGAAATTGTATTTCAAACGGTCGATATAACAGCACCGAACTTTTTCCTTTTTTAAACTTATCCCGTTTCAATTTAGTATTTAGCATTTGCCGTGTCTCTTCCGTGCGAAATTCTATTTTTAATCTGAGTATGACTAGTGGAAACTAAGGATCCGGCGAGGACTACCTTCCGAAAATTGAGGTTAGACCTTGTCGGGATGTGAATATCCGCCTGTTCACGCGACCGGGTTTTATTGTCGAACCCAGTTCTCGAGACTTTATACGATTTTTCGAAACCGCGGCGTACAGATGAAAAGCTCGACGCGAATCTAAAACTTGCTTAACTCTTTCCACCCGAACTTTCTTCAAACGTAGTTTCAAAAAAAAAAATGTCCAATTTCTTGAAATCTTTTCCAGTTTTATTTTGAAAACTAATCTTTACAGATAAGAGAAGCACGACAGATCGTTGTTAGTATCTTATTTTATTATTGGATAACATAACAAGAAACACCACATTTTGCCATATTTTTATCATTAATTTGTGAATTTTTACAGCTCTGAGTCATCACGTCGAATCTTAAAAGTCCAATTAATTTTCGACACATTGTACATTTCAAATAACCACAAATATTACTCCCAATTTTTCTACAATTTTGGACTGTCTTCATCAATTTTTTGCCACCTTCAGTAGTGGGTTTGTGCTTTGATCCATGAACATTAACAGAGAAGGCATAAAACAGCTCTAGTTTGTACATTTCAATAATCACAAATATTCCCCCCAGTTTTTCTATAATTTTGGACTGTCTTCATCTATTTTTTGCCACCTTCAGTAGTGGGTTTGTGTTTTGATCCATGAACATTAACAGAGAAGGCATAAAACAGCTCTAGTTTCTCAAACCAAAACAGTTATAGTCAGATCAAATGATCTGAAACAACCAGACTACAAGTCACCCCATAGACCTCAAATTAAAAATTGTCTCAGCTTTCTGTTTTACAGTTATAGTTATATCTAATTGGTGGTATATTTTCTTGATATTGCACTAACTTAATTCTGTAAATTTTAGCTAATGTTCTTCATTTGTTAGCTTTTTGTCAGTTGTAGCTTGTTTCTGATCTTTGGTCTGATGTTTGCTGTTTTCGTTGTCAGATGCATTCTGTACTTTTCCATTGTTGTTTTTCATATTGAACACTTAAATGCACTACTACAGAGGCTGAAACACATTCGACAGACTGAAATCATCAGAAATGGCCGAGCTAGTGTCACCCCAGTCAGCTTTAGTGCCAAGGATGACATTCTCACCCCGCAGACCTACAAATTCTCAATTTTCGTTTAGCTTCTATCATGTGACATTGTATTCCAGAAGTACGTTTCGTTTTGCCCTGTTGAAATTAATTTTGTTAGTTGATTTAATACTTATCTTTTCATTATATTGCATCAAACTAATCAAATATAGGTAATAAATTTTTAAAAGGTTGATTAAATTGAGCAAGTTTACTCATTACTAGCCGGCATATTTACTAGCTGCTAGTAACACGTGTAATCATATTCACTAGTTGACTAGCAGGTTGACTCGCTGACTGCTGGCAAGTGGATTTGTTATTTAAGCTAGCTTTGTGCCAACATAATTACTAGTGAACTAGCTGCAAGTATCCTGCTGGTACCACAGCACTTTACTTGCTTTTTTCAATGTTGTGTAGTTCTTGTCTTTAGACATCTTTAATTGATTTGATTTTTAGCCTTCAATTGCTTCACATCCATTTCCCCAGTTTTCATTATCAAAATGTTGGAAGGTTTCATCTTTTAATTTTGTGTTGGAAAAATCTTTGTCGCTTATATTCCATAACACAGAGTAGTGTTGGTAGGCGTTAAGAAATTCTACACTTTTATTTATCTTCAGTTTCAGTTTTAAATGCCAATACACTCAGAAAAGTTCAGCAAATGAAAGGAAAAACAACAACGTGGTTTAAACTCGCTAGCTAGTTGGCTACTTAGTTTGTGTGCATCATCTTTATCGCACAAGCTGACTCTCCTTATAGTAGCTAGTAAATCTGCTCAATGTAATCCGAGCCTTTAGACATATTCTAATTGAAAAGATGTCTAAGACTATTTAATGTCAATGTTCTTGACAAGAAATACCAAAAACTGAAGCACTCTACCTCTTCGTGCGACATAATTTGGAAGAACATTCCAGTTTTGCCCTGTTTGTATTAGTTTTTAGTTGAATTTCCCCATATATATTTTTGTGTGGTGATTAGTGACCGTTCATTGATATTTATTTTAGAAATCGTGAGATGCGGTCTGATGTGATGTAGGTTTCAGAAAAACATTTTCTTTATCGTGCTGTTTCGATCTTTATTGAGATCATCTTCAGGGCCTGGGATTTACAAACATTGTTTACATATAATAATTACATTTTGGATGTGGAAAAGTGAATTTATGCAATGCAAAATATATTTTTTATATATTCAATCAAAGTATTTCTACTCACTCAACGTGTTTTTCTTCTGTGTAATTGTGCTATTCTTGCGTGTCGTGTCGAGAGTGCCTGTGAGATTTTGCTATTTTGAATTTATATACGTTGGATTTTGAAGGGGTGGGGAAGGATGTTGGTAAGAAAAGACATTTTTGTATAAGGCGTCAGCTTCTTTGAGGTGAAAATTATGCCTTATACAAAAATGTATTTTCTATACTGAAATCCTTCCCCACCCCTTCAAAATCCAACGTATATAAACTCAAAATAGCAAAATCTCACTGGCACTCTCGACACGACACGCAAGAATGTCACAATTACACAGAAGAAAAACACTTTGAGTGAGTAGAAATACTTTGATTGAATATATAAAAAATATATTTTGCGTAGAGATTAGTGACCGTTAATTGATAGTTATTCTGATATCGTGAGATGCGGTCGGGTGTGATGTAGGTTTCAGAAAAACATTTTCTTTATCGTGCCAACGTTTCGATCTTTTATTGAGATCATCTTCAGGGCTCAAAGTGTTTGTCTTCTGTGTAATTGACTCTCAACACGACACGCAAGGATGGCAGAATTACACAGAAGACAAACACTTTGAGTCCTGAAGATGATCTCAATAAAGATTGAAACGTTGGCATGAAAAAGAAAATGTTTTTCTGAAACCTACATCACACCGGACCCACCTGCATCTCACGATTTCTAAATAAACATATATATTTTCTTTAAATTGCCTCAAATAACAAAATTCCGTTAGCTTCATGTCGTTTGGTTTGATTGTACGTGTGCTTGTTTGCTGTATTGTCTGTCAGATCTATTCAGGCCTTTTCCCATTTTTGTCTTTGTACCCAAATAAAACATCACCCAAATCCACCACTGCAGATGCTGTAATACGTTCATAGACAAATGAGCAAGGATAGACAGTGAAGTCATCATAAACAGCTGAGCTACAATATTTACCTTAATGCCTAAAAAATTTAAGTTTTTATTTAGTTTTCCAGTTTCTTTTGTGTGACATTGTGATCTGGAAGCACATGCAGTTTTGCCTCATTGAAATTAGTTTTTAGTATAATTTATCTATCATATTTTATTTCATTGCACCAAGTAGTGAAATTCTAAAGTTCCAGCTATTGTCCTCCAAAAAGTTTATTTATTTTGAAATATGCTATTTATTCCTTGTAGTGTGGTTGTTTCCGATCATGGGTAGCTTGTTTGCTGTATTGTTTGTCACATGCATTCTGGCCTTTTGCCATCTTCGACTTGCAAGACCAAAATGTAAACTGGACCCAATTAAAACAAAAAAACATCCAGCACTGCATATGCAGAAACACATGCGACAGATTGGCGTGGTATGGATATATAGATGGAAATTATCAGAAATTACTGAGCTGCTCTGCTACCTAAAAAATTTCAATTTTCATTTAGTTTCCCATTTTCTATTATGTGACATGAGTATTCTGGAAGTAAATCCTGTTTTGCCTAGTTTAAATTAGTTTTTAGTTTAATTACCCAGCTATTTTTTGTTTATAACACCAAACTAAGTTAGGATATAGCTAATATCCCCCCCCCCAACAGTGGACTAACAACACGTGATATTTTATTTGCGTTTAAACGAAAATACTCATTGTATCTGTTATTTTTGAATGGGGGAGTCATTTTAAATTAATTTTGTTGAAATTAGTTTTTTGTATAATTTCCCACCCAACATTTTCTTTAAATTGCACCAAATAGCCAAATTCTGTTATAAGCTCTAGCTATTATTCTCCCAAAGACAAAAAAATTATTTGGAAGTATACTAATTGTTCTTTATAGCTTAGTCTGATTGTAGGTCTACTTACTCGCTGTATTTTTTATCAGGTGATTCTGGCTTTTTGCCTTCTTCACTAGACCTAAGCCGCAAGGATAGGTAGACTGAAATCTTCATAAATGGCCAAGCTACAGTCTCACGATGCAAACTAAAAATATTGTAGAAAATTCTGTTTTGCCTTGTTGAAATTACTTTTTGGCTGAATTTACTGTCCATATTTTATTTAAATTGCACCAAATAGCTCAATTCTATTATAAGTTCTAGCTTTTATTCTCCCAAAGGCAAAAAAAAAATTTTTTTTGAATTATGATAATTATTTCTTATCGCTTGGTCCGATTGTAGGTTTGCTTGTTTGCTGTATTGTCTGTCAGATGTACTCTGGCCTTTTCCAATTTTCACTTTTCATGACAAACATTTAACCCAAATAAAACAAAAATTACACAAATCTACCATTGTAGATGCTGATACACATTAGATAAAGTTAATTTTTAAAAAGGATCTTTTATCAGATGCCATTGGTTAAATGATTGAAAACTAAAATGCAGGACTTAGGTTATATTATCAGTAATGAACGAACTAATTATTTTAGACTCATGCTAAATAGACATTATTTGTTGAAAATCGCATTTTTCATTTGTAGTCATTATTTTGAATACCTAAAAACAGAAACAGCTTGATCATTCTGGTTTGTCTGTTCTTTTTGGTGTATTTTGGATACATTTCAACATTTTACCAATTTAATTGTGTTATTTTGTCAAAGTTAAACAGAAGATATATGAGCCAATGATCATGGTGCTATCTTTGTTGTTTTGGTGTGACTTTGTGCCATCTTCTCTTTGTAGATGGTCACAGATCTAAGTACAATTCCTCACACCAATATTTTCTTTAAAATGCCCTAAATGACGAAATTGTAAAGTTCTAGCTAATAAACTCCCAATTTATCTGAAAATGCATTATTTGTGTCTTGTAGCTTGGTTTTTTCCGATCATTCATCTTCTTTTTTGTTGTATCGTTTGTCAGATGTATTCTGGCCTTTTGCCATCTTCGCTTTTCATGACGAACATATAATATAAACCACGCACAAGAAAACCATCAGACAAATCCAACACTGCAAATGGAATCGATGAAGATTATAATATTGTATAATATATAATACATAATAATATATTTTTGTAGAAACTTTTACCAGATAACATGGTCAAATGATTGCTCTAAAAAAAAAAAAAAAAATTTTTTTATTATATCCTCAGAAATAAACTAATTCTAAATCGTTATAGACTAACCTTAGATATTTTTGCTGAAAATCATATCCACAGTTTCAATATCTTAAAACACCAATAGCTTGATCATTCTGATCTGCCTGTTCTTTTTGGTGTCTTGTCACTATTCAGCATTCTGCAACTTAATTGTCTTATTTTTTCAAATTGAACATACAAGTGAAATGCTTAATCAGAAAGCTGAAAATATGTAGAAAGTAATTTCTTTTTGAGGTCACCAGGGTGATGAACTGTAGCCCAGACATCTCTGATCATGATGATGTAACTGTACTTGCTGTTCTGACAGACACATTATCGCTTTTTGTGCTATATTATTTTTGTATATGGTCAGGTATCTAAGAAGAAACCCACTACTGAAGATTTTTTAGGGATGGCACTACTGAAGATGGCAAAAAAAATCGACAGACAATAGTCAGAAATTACCTCATTTCATTCTTAATCTGCAGACCTAAAAATCTCAGTTTTCATATAATTTCTCAGTTCCCATCATGTGACATTGTAATCTGAATCTTTTTGCCTTGTTCAAATATTTCTTAGTTGAATTTTCCACCTATATTTTATATTTATAATGTCCCCCCAAAAGAACATTTATTTGAAAATATGCTATTTGTTCTATGTAGCTGGTCCGATTATAGGTCTTCTTGTTTTGCTATATCAGTCTGTTAGATGAATTCTGGTCTTTTCTCATCTTCGCCTTTCACAAGAAAATATAAATCGGACCCAAATAAAACATAGAATCACATACCACTGCAGATGCTGAAACGTATTAAAATAAGATTTAAAAGAATCTTTCATCAGATTACATTGGTTAAATGATTGAAAACTACAAATACAGGATTTGATTATATTCTTAATAATAAAATTAATCCTTAACCATTATAGATGCCCCTAAATAGACATTTTCTGAAAATCATATTTTTCATTGGTACGCACAACTTTAATATTCTAAAACACCGATAGCTTGATTGTTCTGTCTGTTATTATTTTTGATATCTGTCAGATATATTTTAGCATTTCATTAACTTGGTGTAATTTTTTCGACATTGAACTAAAGTCTCAACGACTGATCATAGAGAAATACCGAATCATGCCTGGCAGACAATCTTTTGATTTGATAGACTGAAGTAGCAAGAATAGGTAGTCTGAATTCATCAGAAAAGCATCCGATCTGCATAAAAATTCTCAATTTTCATTTAGTTTCTCACTTCACATCTTGGGACTTTCTATTTTTGAGAAGTACATTCTGTTCTGCCTTGATGCAATTGGTTTATAGTTGAATTTAGCATCAATAATTTTTTTAAAATAAATCTTAGACATATTCTAATTGGAAAGGTGCTAGTTGATATTTGTCTAAATGAAAATTCTCACTGCAGCAGACATTTTTGAACAGAGGAATGGTATGTCACTCTGTTGTTGACAAGAAAATACCAAAAAAACAAACATTGTACCTCAACATGTGGCAAAATAATTTGGAAGAAGATTTCATTTTTGTCCCATACAGAATCTAACTAAGCAAATAAATTATTATTTGGAGATAGTGAGATGTGGTCTGGTGTGAATGAGCTAATAAAACTAATAAACTCCTAAGATATATTCCAATTAGAAATATGCTGTTTGTTCCATGTAGCTTGGTTTCTGATTGTTGGTCTGCTTGTTTACTGTATAGACACAAAGGCACCTTGCCTTCCATGATGAACAAATGAAGTCCAAATAAAACAAAAAATCACACAAATCCATTGCTACAGATGTGGAAACAATACTGCAAACTGAAATAATCAGAAATGACCAAGCTACTGTTTCGCCTTGTTGAATAGCTTATAATTTCATTGGAAATATGCTGTTTGATCCATATCTAAACAGAATCATTTCATCATATATTACTCAATTCGTGACAAGAAAATATCAACAATGGTATACTCAATTATAGAATTGATACTCACCATCAAAACTTTTTTTTATTAATTAATACTATCCATACCTTAAATGAATTAACCAAGAATTTATTGAAAAACTTGGTTTAAACAAACTAATTCAGTTTAAATACATTAAACATTTATTTATTTTAATTTCTTTTTATTTATCCCGTTGATGTGGTACATTGCTTGAAAAAAATTATAATAGTACGATTGTTTTACTGATTAAAAATATATTTTCCTTCAAGTAAATGCATTTCTTGCCTTAAATAGGAAAAGTGGGGGCGTTGACGGTTTAGGGTTTAGGCGTTGAGATGGCGCTCATCCAAGTAAGGTAAAGGTCCTGTGTTCGAATCCAGCGGCCCTGCATTTACATCTGATTTTTCAAATGATGTGAAATTTTTATTTATTTACAATGACAATCATACATATTATTAACAATAAACCTTTATTTGTATAGAATATCAAAAGTAAAATGAAAAAATCTTTTGTTACGGAAAAAAAACTCTTCCTGCACAAAATCAGCTTTAGTTGAGCCTTCTGTTATTATTCTATTTGTTACAGAAAAAGTACAGGACCTGAGATTGATATTGTTTTCCTAAAATATTAACATTTTAGAAGAAAAAAAAATTGAAATTTGGGATAGAAACTTTTATCAGATTAAATGGTTTTGAAACTAATCACCTCAATTGAAAACTATAAATATAACGGACTGCAGTAGCCGAGTGGTTAGCGTGAGAGACTCTCGGCTCATAGACGCCGCGGTCGTTGGTTCGATTCCCACCGTCGCCTCTGGCCCTTTTTTCACGATAACCCCCCCCCCCCCAAAAAAAAAAAAAAAAAAAAATATGAACACAGAATTCGTCAACATGGTTAATATGCATAGATCATAAGGCCAAATAAAAAAAAATAATACATTATGTCGATTATGTTTGTAGTAACAAAATAACCGTTATAGAAACACACACCTTAAATGGATATAATTTACTGAAAATCATATTTTGTATTCATAGGTGACAGTGTTAACACAAAAACACCAACAACTTGATCATTCTGGTATGCCTGTTCTTTTTTATGTCTGTCAGACAAATTGCAACATTTTGCCAACTTAATCAGGCTAAAGGTTCATTGCCCTGTAGACTTAAAAATAAGATTGTACCGTATGTTTGTACTGTTTGCTCCTTATCATGACATTTAGCTTGATTTTTTTAAAGCTACATATTTTGGTTATAGTCATTGCAGATTTCCAAATTGGACATATAAACTTGTTAATAATTGCCTTTTGCGAGTACAGAAATAATTTTGAATATTTTTTTTATCGACTTCTATTCATTTTACGTGTTAAATCAGAGTTGTATGAATTTTATGTCTTGCCCTTTTCGTACTAATATGGTTATTTTTCTAGGTGAGGCTATGGAGACACTCGTAGACAGTGGTGGAGGTGATGCAACTGATAACAGAACGATAAACGGCGAAATGCAGGACCAAATACTAACAACGGACACTGAGATGGAGGAAGGTCGGTTGACCATCAAAAATATTGAGTATTTGGGTCCAGAAGCCGATTACTTAGAGGAGAGTTGTGTTTTAGACGACGCCAGGTCTCAGGCAACCTTTCGACATACAGTTCATAACTTAAGTAAGCTTAAAGATTCCCAGTTGTCTGCACCATGTATAGTGCGGAATCTACCGTGGAAGATCATGGTCATGCCGAGGATTTCACCGACACAAGATAGACAACAGACAAAAAGTCTTGGATTCTTTCTCCAGGTAATTTCGCCAAATTCCGTATATATTTTAAACAATTTTTGTATTATTAATGTACAATTTTTTGAAAGTTTAATGCTTGATCTCTTCCCAGTCGTCTTATGCTTGCTTCATTGTGTTTATGTTTTTCTTATTTGGACTATTAATTTTTATTTTGTTTGATCTGTTATTTTTTCATTTGTTGTAATTGCATTTATGTGCATTGTAAAAAAAAATGCGTTCAATTTCCACTTATAAATTTAAAGCCCATTGTTAAATATTGAATTTAAATTAGTAAAAGTATGCATAAGAACCTTTCTCAAGTTTTTAATAAGGTATAAGGGAATTAATTTTTTATGAAATACAGTATAGTACATAGTTTCATAATTAAGTCCTCATTGATTTTTTTCACATCCGCTGTTACGTTACCAGCTTTTCAAAGGTCTAATGGAGAGTTTCTGTATTGTTTGTGTCCAAAGATCACACACGAACAAGTAAAACATTGTGTGAGAGATGTAATTCACTTTTGATAGATATTGTGACAGGAATGGGCCTTAGAAAACCCTTGAAGTGGCACTGCACACAATGACACACAGAACTTTCTTGGAATTCTATAAGTATCTATGAAATGTCAGGGATTTTAATGACTTTAAGATGGTGGTAAGAGTTTATTTATTTATTTTTATTTGGCAATCCGAGAAATACCCATTCTCTGTCCTTTTTTTGTTAAATTATTTTAATTTATTTTGTAAAGGAGAAAAAGTAACATGCAAAATCAGTAATCAGTAAATTTCAAACCAATGTATAAAGTATAATCTTAGTCTATTATATAAGAACTTAATTCTTGTTATAAAATTTACATGTTTGGTGAATTTTTGTTGAAAGGACGTAGCGACGAAATTTAAAAAACGAAAATTAAAGAATGATATGACATTTATTAGCTGTCACCCTCAATTACTCTCATCACCCTACATGATTACCCTTGCCTATTGTGCTTTGCATTTTTAAATTATTTTTTTGAAAAATATGTAAGAAACTGATAGAATTTAGTGTTTAATTTACAGTGAAATATTTAATGATTTTTAGTTGGTGGACGGTTTGAATTTATAAATCCAATATAATTGTGATTCATTAAATACTCATTGTATAAGGGTTAATTTTTGATCGAAAAAAAATTCTTTTTGTTATTTGAATAAGAAACTCAGTTACTTTTGTTTTTAAAGCCCTGTTATAAAGAAACATTTTGCATGTTATTATTATTTTTAATAATTCATAAATATTGGCATTCCTGACATTAGAGCTAAAATAATCTCTCCTCTTTGTTTTTTAGTGTAATGGTGAATCAGAAAGTACGACTTGGAGCTGCCATGCTTCGGCGGAACTTAGGTTATTGTCACAAAAGGAAGGAGGAGAGCCTTTTTTTAGAAGTAAGTTTTTTATTTGTATCCCAATCTCCCATTTTGCTTAACTCGAATGTTCCTGTTTTTGTTTTTCAGAGATTCAGCACTTATTTTATAGTAAGGAAAATGACTGGGGATTTAGTCATTTTATGAACTGGGGTGAAATATTAGATCCTGAGAAGGGATATATTAAAGACGATACAATTATTCTGGAAGTGCGTACAGCGATTGCATTACGAGTGATTTGTTTGATTAAAATTAACATTAAATAATTTATCAGGTCTCTGTCTCTGCTGATGCTCCTCATGGTGTTAGTTGGGATTCGAAAAAGCATACTGGATATGTCGGTTTGAAAAATCAAGGAGCTACTTGTTACATGAACTCCTTACTACAAACTCTTTATTTCACAAATGAGTTAAGGAAGGTTAGTATTTTTATCTTATTTTTTATTTTTATTTTTAAAGCGTATTTAAGATTTAAAAGTTCATTTTGAATTCTAGGCAGTGTATAAAATGCCCACTGAAAGTGACGACTCTAGTAAAAGTGTTGCTCTAGCTCTTCAGAGGGTTTTTCATGAACTTCAATTTTGTGATAAGCCTGTGGGGACAAAGAAATTAACTAAGTCATTCGGTTGGGAAACGTTAGACTCGTTTATGCAACACGATGTGCAAGAGTTTCTTAGGGTGGTGAGTATTCTCATGAGAAGTCATGCTTTTCTGTTTATTTATTTTATTTTATAATTTCGTTCCAGCTTCTTGATAAGCTTGAAAGTAAAATGAAGGGCACTTGTGTGGAAGGAACGGTACCAAAGCTTTTTGAAGGAAAGATGGTGGTATGTTATTAAAAAAAAATTTAAAAATCTTTCATTTATTTCACTTGTTAATCTATTTTATCGGATATTTTTAGTCTTTCATCAAATGCAAAAATATAGAATACAAATCACAGAGGACAGAAACTTTTTATGATATCCAATTAAATATTAAGGGGAAGAAAAATAGTAAGTAAGAAATAATTTTTATACATACACATACATTTCTCACAATCTTTCCTTTGATTTGACAAGGTAAAAACCTTGTTAAACATACATACACATTACATAAAAGTAAATTTTTTGATTTGGTAATGATTCGAATTTTAATTTCAGTTAAGGAGTCTTTTAAAGACTACGTTACACCTGAAGTTCTGGAAGGCGATAATAAGTACGATGCGGGTGAACACGGCCTGCAAGATGCTGAAAAGGGAGTTATTTTTTCAAAGTTTCCTCCTGTTTTACATTTACACCTCATGCGCTTCCAGTATGATCCCATAACAGATTGTTCTGTGAAATTCAACGATAGGTAAATAGTTATTAACTTGGCTTTCAGTTTTTATCAGTAGGGTTTTAATTATTGAAACTACCATGTGTAAATTAATTCTCTTTGTATACATTCAATTTATTATACACAGTTTTTTGAAATGAAAAATTGTGTCGGGCAAGATTCAAACCCATTTCGGATAAATACTCCAATGCTCTAACACTTATGCTGCTCGTCCATTGGAACCGAACTAGGATGGCCGTTCAACAGCCGAACTATTTACCAAATAGACAACCGGCAATATGGCCGAACGCTGTCGTCCACTGAAGCTGATTTTCATCAGTTCATGAAATAGCCCAAATGGTTGTAGAAGACTTTTTACTGCTCAAAAATTCTTAGTTTACCTACAAATGGAGGGAAAGAAATAAACAAAAATATTGGAAGTTCCATTTATAAAGCTATCCTCGACCACAGATTACGCTGGACATCTCTCCAATGATAGAGCAGATCTCGCATGTCCCAAAGAGCCTGATTCTCGTCAACAGTACTTGTCAATTTTTCGCAATCCATCGAAATGAAAACGCAACGAAAAGATAAACAAAAAGTAAAGAACGCCGTTAAACAATGGTGAGCGTTTGATGTCACATGGTTGACAGCTGAATTCGAAGTAACATTTCGGCCTAATAGAACGGGAAAATCCAACTTTATTTGAATCGGAAAGTGCTTCAGCCGTGCACGGCCCAACACGACCAAGCGAATTGGTTCTAATGGACACGTGCTCATTCATTTCTTCGCTTTTGGATCAAGTTCGGCCGAAAACGGTTCCAGTGGACGGAAGCTACTGTGACCCCACAAACTTCTCATTTCGATTTTCCATTTAATCCTGCTACAAAGGGAAAATTTATATGTTATATAAGTTCATGCTGTACAATATAAATAAAAATTAAATCATTAATGTTTTTATTTTTTGTAGGTTTGAGTTTACTGAAAAAGTGGATTTGACTGAATATCTTCAGTCAGAGGAGGAGACAAGTGCTATTTATACATTACATGCTGTTTTAGTTCATAGTGGTGATAATCATGGAGGTCATTATGTGGTATTTATAAATCCCAATGGTGATGGAAAGGTACATAAAACATCTATAAAAAAAAATTACGTCATAATAATAAGGTCGATTAATTGTATCGTTTTTACGTTCCAGTGGTGTAAATTTGATGATGATGTGGTTTCAAAGTGTACAAAGCAAGAAGCAATAGAGAATAATTACGGGGGCCATGATGATGATCTTAACATGACTGTGAAACATTGTACTAATGCTTATATGCTTGTATATATTAGAGATTCAGAGTTAGCGAATGTCCTGCAAGAAGTAACAAAGGATGATATCCCCCAAGAGGTACGTTTTGTTTTCTACTCATATTTTATCTGCATGACTTTCTAATTAATAGATCAGTCCGCATCTAATATTTATTTTAAACATCCCTAAAACAATGGGGTTTTTTTCACACTCGTTTCAAAATTTATACCTGTTTCCTCACACATGAGTAAATGAAATTAAAATTATGGCCTTCATATCCACTTTATTGTTGAAATAAATATTAGAATGTGGATGCCAACTGATTGAAGCCCTGTTGTTTTAGGTCCTAAAAAAGCTGCAAAACTGAATTTTTATACTGGTTCCTAACCCTTCTCAAGAAGTTCCACATCCTTGATCTTCCTACACAAATAAATCCTATTCAAGCTTTGTGTCCGACTTTTTAATTTTACCTATATGTAATGTAGAGTAAGCATGCTCATATATTATTTGTTTTGTCTTTGAGAAAACATCATTCGACACAGTTTATTTTCTTCCTTTGTTTACAATTTTACAATTAAAATTTCTTACTACATTACTAAAACTTAATTAAACAATATAGTATTTGATTTTATATTATATTTAAATGTTTCTTATTAGTTTCTCTAATTATGACTAATAGTTTATGGAAGATAATGACACTATTGTTACGAAAAAAAAAAAAAAAACGGATTGAGAAAAAGATTACAAATGATCTACTTTTTAAATTTCAAATTTTGCATTTCTTCAATAGTTTTCTTTATTTTCTGTGTTTACTAATTAAATATGTACTAATTTACTAATTCCAGAAATTTTATATCTGATCATGCTGTATACACTGTGTGAATTATTCCCAATTTTACTGATTGTATAATTTACTGCCTTTTTCTTCTGATTGGACATTTTTCTTTTATTAACACTTCAAATGGATTATTTCTTGATTATAATTTTTTATGTATTGGCAGTATGTAAGTAGTATTGGAGATAAATAATAGGATAAATTTTAATTTTGATTTAATTAGCTGATGTTTGTTCAGTCTTTGAAAGTTACAGAGTGACTGAAATTTGTTGATTATATAGTTGATAAGTTTTAAATTAATACATTCCTAATTAGGCATTCAACTTAAATAGAAAAAAAAGTGTGGACAAAAGGAAGAATTACTATATACGAATTTTATTATTTATTGCAATATGTGCTTTCTGTAAGGTAGTTTCAACATGATTACATTTCTCATGGTAAAAAATCCTACACAGTTATACTTGAGTTGTTAAATACAGTTTTCAATATATTATAATGGATTATTAGTATGGGAGTTTGCTCAAGTTCTCAGTGCATAATCCACAAACCAAAAATATTTGTAAAAACAAAATATTATGGTATGTAAAAAGAATACTGATTCAGTTTCATTAAGTCCATAAGGTACTTGGCCTCCTTTAAGATTATTTTCTATAAGTACTTAACCAAAATCGCTCTTATAATAAGAACTTTATATTTTAGCTTGAGGATAGACTTACAGAAGAGAAACGAGTTGAACAAATAAGGAGAAGGGAAAGAACCGAAGCGTATCTGTACATGAATGTTCAAGTTGTTTTGGAAGACAGCTTTGACGGACACCAAGGAAATGATTTGTACGATCAGGAGAGGGTCAACTATAGGGTATTCAAAATTAAAAAAGATCAGACACTTCAAGATTTCATGGAACATCTTTCTGAAACACTCGTAAGAAATAATTCCTATCTTATATAATTTTTTAATCTGAGTTTGAATTAATTTATTATTGTTACTTTTTTAAGAAATACCCAGTCGAACAGATGAGACCTTGGCCGTTAAACATAAGAACAAATAATACTATTAGACCCACCACGCTTGATATCGAATCTGAATTGCATAAAACCATAGAAGATATAGCTGAAAGGGCCTCACCTTGGAATATATTCCTGGAGATCCTTTCACCAGATGCTGGAACTAATAGCCTTCCTCCTTTTGATAAGGATGCTGATGTATTACTGTTTTTCAAAATGTATGATCCAAAGGCTAAGAAGATTTACTACTGTGGCCATCATTACATGCCCGTCGCATCTCGAGTCTGTTAGTACTTTTTTCATTGCTGTTTTCTCAAAATATTAATTTGTATTGAATGTTTGCTTTTTGTTAATTTTTCAGCTGCGTTAATACCAATATTGAATGAAAGAGCTGGTTTCCCTCCAGGCACCGAGCTTGATCTCTATGAAGAAATCAAGCCAAGTTTAGTTGAATCCATTAATAATCAAAATGAGGTTCTGGAAAAGGTAAGTTTTAGTAATAAACAAGTAAGCCTCATTATTGACTTGTCCATGAAATATGTATTGTTCTTTCTTTCTTGTTAAAGAAAAAAAGTCTGTCCATTTTCCTCTGTATTCAAAATTTAATATATATCTATTAACAAATAATCATTTTTAAAAATACTTGTGACAGACAGAAATTATTTTTGGCAAAATATTAAAATTAATAAAAACTGACAATTTTAAAAAAAAATTCTTGTTATCAATATTTGCTTTAATTTTAATTAAATAATTTAATTCAATAAAGCTTTATTTATTGCCTTTAAGGCATTTGCAAATTTGATGCTTAGGTAAATACAAAGATACTTTTTGAAGCACATGTATGAAATGAAACTCTCTTAGGTTCTTCGAAGAGTTAGACCCAATCTGATATCAAGTCCTACACAGAATTCCATGACTTTTGGCCCTCAAGAGGTATTTTAAGTTAGAAAACATAGAGTAATATCTTTAGTTAAATTTTGAAAACAATGAATGGCACACGATTACTTTTACATGATGCCAATAAATTAACAATAATAATAGTATTTAGTTATAGTTAATGTAATTGATTCTTCAAATTTATTGATTTATTTGTATTAAAATCAGACGGTGCCATTTGAACAGCTTTTGTTTATTTTGTTTCAAACTATTGATATAATTTATTGGGTTGATCAGAGGAGTAATGTTTATTATTAATTAATTAATCCATAACTGCCATTCAATCTGTTACGGCCCAAATCACAAAAGTGTACTCATCACCCTTCCAGTGAAGGCAGGAATGGTCAAAAATAATATTTAAAAACTAACACAACTAAAGAGAACGGGGCCAAAAAAAAATTTAAAAAAAAAATATATATAGATTTCCAACACAGGAGAAGATACGAAAACCAAAACTTATTGATCTCAACTTAATCTGAACCCTTGGACTACACAGAGAGTTGATTTAGTGTTCAATAAAAAAAATACATATTTTCAAATCAAGACAAATTTTTGACATATTTTCTTAACTAATTAAATTCAATTAATGACTTGGTTAACCAATGAAATAAACAAACCTAAACAGAATTATAAATTTTCACTCTGTGCCACTTAAAAGTTTAACAACAGAAACAAAAAAAATTCAAAAACTGGACTGATCTCAACTATTTAATAGCCCCGAACAGTGGGAAAATCATCCTCCTTGTGACAGCTATAAATCTCCTTTTCAGACCTATCCTTAATCCATTTTCCTGATCCAGGATGGCCACGGCTACACAATGAGGACAAATCTGGCAAAACGCCGATGTATTTGTACATCTTTAAAGCAGAAGAAAATTTTGACATTATTCACTGACCGACCCAATATCTTTGATCAAAGCTCTATTAGTTATAATGTTGTATATACTTTAGAAACAGGTTTTCTTTATTTGTTTAATTATTTATTATTATTATTCTTTCAATATATCAAAAAAAACCTTAAGTAACTTGTATAATATAATATATAAGTTGTATAACCTTAATTTTGTTTTAAATTACTTATATCTTAAGAACTTAAAACAAGTGTCAGACTAAGTAAGTTACTCTAGTAATCACTTCAATATCTGTCTATTTAATTATTATGACAATTACTTTTTTAAATTAATAACTTGAAACTTAAATTTATCTCTTAATATTAATGAAAATGATTTGAGTGTGGTTTCAGAGGCAACAAACAAATAATTAAGATGTTTATTTTAAAAAATAAATAATAAAATTGCAAAAATCTAATGCATTTTGTTTTACTTTGTCTTTAATACCACACTGCAAATTTTCATAGAAGGGCTCTGTGTAATTTGAAATGAAAAAAAAGTTGGGAATTCATTTGAGTAGGGAGATTCCTTTGTTCATTTTTATTTTCTTATGAATCATGCTGACATGTTTTCTTTTTTTACAATTTTTTATAGGTACTTGAGGAATTGATGGACGGGGATATCATCTTGTTCCAGAAAAAAGTTCAAGATGATGATATATCCGATTTACAGACCTGTAAGGATTATTTTAGGTGGGGAAAATAAAATAACGAAGTCTTCGTGCTGTCATTGGAAAAGAAATATCAAATTGGCTTATTTAAAATTGTTTTTACAGAGATCTATTTCATAGAATGGAAATTACATTTTGTGATAAAACGATCCTTAATGATCCTGGATTCACGATGGAACTCTCGGCTAGGATGAGCTATAACCAAATGGCTCAAGCAGTTGCTCAAAGGGTTCAGATTGATCCTTGTAGGCTACAGTTTTTCAAGACACACAAGTAAGTATCTTTACCTGGCCATTACAGCCGATATCGCAGATTATTTAATTAAATTTGTTTTGATCACAGTTACAAGAGCGCTCCGGGTACAGCATTAAAGTGTAATTTTGAAGGGACTCTGAAGGAACTGATGCCACACGCAACAAACCCAAAAGCAGTTCGAAAAATTTACTACCAACAATTATCCATCCCAATTAATGAGTTAGAAAATAAAAGACCATTTAAGGTTAGTAAATTGTTAAAAAAAGGTTCCAAAAAGGAAAATGATACAAATAATTGTTGTGTAGGTTGTTTGGGTCGGAGCAAGAATGAAGGAAGAAAAAGAAATAATACTCTATCCTAATAAAGGTGCAACAGTCGCCGACCTTTTGGAAGAAGCTAAGAAAACTGTTGAAATGTCTCCAGATGGATCTGGAAAACTAAGGTAACTAATTGGAACAAGAGTAAAATTAATTGGTAATTTAACTTATTATTTTTTCTAGACTTCTTGAATTGACTTGCAATAGGATCAATCCTGTAAGTCCTAAAGATGACACACCTTTAGAATCATTGGCCAATGCAGCTACAAATACACCAAAAATGTATAGGTAAAGTATATTTTCAATCGCTTAACAAAATTTTAAATTTTAACAGATTTATTTTGATCTAAAATATTTTAATTTGTCCTATAGGATAGAGGAAATCCCAAAAGATGAATTACAGTTGGCAGATGATGAGACCTTAGTTCCAGTCGCACATTTTCATAAAGACGTCTTCTCTACATTTGGAATACCTTTCTTAATTAAAGTTAAAAATGTAAATATTAACAAAATTTTATAAACAATATGTGTATACAATTTAAAAAAATAAATATATGATCTATTTTTCAGCGTGAACCATTTCCTTCTATGAAAGAGAAACTTTATAAAAAACTGTGCATTCAAGAAAAAGAGTTTGAAAAGGTAAATTTTATCCAATGTAACCTACGAATATGTTTTAATTAATTAATGTTTAATTTATTTTTCTATTTTTTAGTTTAAGTTTGCTCTAATTTGTGGAGGGAGGCCTCATTACATAAGTGATGATTCAGATTTCACTATTAAATTGAGTGAATTTACTCAAAATCAAAGTAATTCTTTTTACTTTAATATTTGGAATAATTGTTAACATTATAGATTTTTAATATGCCGGGTTTTGTTTCAGGTGGTTCTAATGTTCAGACAAGACCTTGGATTGGACTTGAGCACATCAACAAAGCCCCAAAACGAGGACGGTTCAACTACCTCGAAAAAGCAATTAAGATTTATAACTGATAGTGCATTTTTATGTCTGCCTCAACACTCGTGAGGATCCAGTTGTTATTGAATGTGTATATATATAGAGAGAAATCTTATATGTGTATATATACATATTTCATCGGAATTTAAATATGATGAACACGATTATACATATTTTATTTAATATTAAGGAATTCCTTCGCCTCGCAATTAAATAAATTCTTTTATTGAGGTGCCTAAGAATTCTTAAAGGACCTGGTCTCTGTTGGGCTTAAACCCACTTTTATTGAAATTTTCAAAATGCTGTTAATCGAGAGGGAAAAAGAAAAAGAAAAAAACCCACAACAGATCCCTTTTGTCAGTTCATTTGGTTAAAATTTATTGTTCTCAATCTTAACAATTGTAATAAAGACATTATGTCTGCCCAACTGAATGAATTTAATCATTGTTGCACAGAAGTGAAGTGTATTTGTTCATGTTGGACTCCGAATATAAAAAGGTTCAGTTAAGATCTGTGAAAGGGAAATCCAACTGTTGATATTTATTAATCACAACAAAGTCAGTGATAAGAAAAAATGAAATGTGAAGGATTTTGTCATTAAAATAATTCGACAATTTCATCTCTAATCGTGATATATTATCCAATATTTTGTAAGTGCTCGGCATTCAGAAATCTTTATGTATTTATTTATGTATTAAGCTATTCATGAGGCACAGGCTGTCATTAAATAAAATACGGGAATGTCAAATTTTGATAAATATTAACGTTATATTTTATATTAGTTTCAGATATTAATAAATGGTTTATAAGAGTGATTATTGAGCCGTATTTTGACAAAATTAATACATTAGTGCTGCATTAACAAAAATTGGGGTTGTGCGTAGTTATTTGCTTTCGTTAAATCCATTTTTACAGGTGAACTCGTGACAATTCTGTTTGTAAAAAAAAAGATTATTGTATATTTTATTGTCAATTTTTATCAAATTAAATTAAATTGATTCTCTAATTACTTTCATTTATTACCAAACATGATTTGTTACTGTTTTATCTCGTGCTCGGCCGTTTTTTTGAAATGTTTATGGTATGTATGCCATCCATCAAGATTTTAATGACGCAGACATTTAAAATATAAGTAAACCGTACTAGGGCATTCTAAGAATGTTAGTTCTATTTTTATACATGTAAAAGAACTTTTGATCAACACACTTTTTGCAATATTTATAAAATCTCTTATTTAACAACAAAAAGGAAGTTTAAGAACGATATTGATATTGACAAAGTGAACTCTTCTTAGACTGCAATATTAATTTTAATCTAAGTAATTGATTGCCTTTTAATCATTTTTTTTACACCCTTCCCATTTTTAATTTTATAGGGCAGATTCTTTTTTGGTAATGAATAATACTGTTTTGTTGGCACTTAAGTTTGTTTATAATATATATTTGAGTATTTGTTCAATGGCATAATTTATTTTTATACCCTCATTTCCTGAAAAATCACACAGCTTTGTAAATATTGTTATTTTGTACAAATAATGTATATAAATAATTTAGTATATAATATATAAGTTAGAATTTTTATCTGTTATTCGGAGATTCTCAACATGGACATGAAAAGTTGGAGTTGTGTTTTGAAGTACATACTCATGTATCGGTTGATATTTAACATTAAAATGTTCTAAATAATTTGGTTGTTTTCAAACCATCCCACATTCATTTTCATTTCGATTTTTAATAAAACGAGATCTTATTCTTTAGAATTATTAATTTAATCTGTGAAGAGGGCGAGGTATTACATAGTAATTATTCAATTGTCATTTTACAATTCAAAATAATTGTTATTGGTTTTTAGTTTTAGAAATAAAAATGCTTTAGATTTTTGAATCTTTGAAACCTAGAATCCTTTAGAATCCTTATAGTTAAACAATAGAAGAGAATCCCAGTATGAGTTCACATTGATGAGAGCATGTACTATGTAGCATCAGTTTATTTGTAAAATTTTGATTAGAGCATAAAACTAACTACAAATAGGTAAATATTTAACAATATTAAAGAGATGAAACATTCGATGAATTAGATATTTAGACGAATTTGGCTTAAAATTTATTCTTGGATTTTTTCTTATACACCCGCAGAATGACAGGTCATTTAAGATTATATTTAATTTTTTGTATATTTTAATTAGCGAATGCTGCATAGCTTTGTTAATTTGTACTTTTAAAAATTTGTTGAGTTACATGTCATTGATCATCGAAACAACCACTAAAATTGTTTAATAAAAATACTTAACAATATGAACAGGCCAAATGAACCAACTAGCCAAAAAAGAGGCAGCCAGCCCTCTCTCATGTATCAGAACTGCAACTAGGTACGCTGGAGTGTGTGCTTAAATTGAATCTAGAAAAAAGGCTTGACAAAGAAAAACTCAAGCACCTGGTATGAGGCAAGCTAAGAGATTTATAAATCTCTCAAAAAGGTGAAGGAAAAAGAAAGAACTCTCAGCAGGCAGGACTATTATCACTACTATTAGGAACTATTATTATAAACTCATGCTGAACCAGCATGGGGTCACTTATTAGGTCCATCTTCACTCGTGGGTTTGTTGAATCAAAACTCTCAACCGCGTTTTCTATTGCGCCATCTTCAGTGAGGAACTGGAGAAGATTGTGAATAATTTGTTGGTGTTCGAAAGTATAATTGTTTAAACAAACAATTACATGGAATGTATTAGTGAATCATCTAGTTTATGGAATAAATATGTTTTACCTATTAATAAAATTGAAGAAGAAATTCCAAAAGCCCGAAGTGTACGAATAATTTTTTGATCGCTAAGTAACTTGGATAAGTGACCATGGATCTGAAAGTGGTTGCGTATGACCGTAAGATCATTTTAGGATTTTCTCCCCAATTTGATAATGATGTTTGTTTAAATTTAATTTTAAATTCCCTCTATCAGTAAGTAAAGCAAGTGAATCAATCGTAAATTGGAATGCTTCCGGTGATTCAGCTATAATAATTACATCATCAATATAAAATACTTTAATTTTTATTTCGCCTACTGTTATACCTCCTCCATCCATTAAGATACAAAGAAAATAAATGCAGATTGAGTAATGCACTTTGCTTTAAACCCATTTTGCATTCAAAATACCTTGTTCTTCCTTCTCTACTTCATACACACCTTTTTATGTTCGATAGCATGAATTTTATTAGGTAAACCAACATTCTTTAAATAAAAAACAGGCCCTTTCGATCTACTGAAGCAAAACCAAAGTAAAAGGAAAGTAAAAAAAAGAAGGGCTATACATTTTTTGTATTTCAGTGACTGTTTTAGATTGATTATGTTTAACAGGGTCATTTTTCTTTCAGAAGTATATAAACTTGTAATATTACATGCTGATTATATATATTATAATAGTACTTAATTTAACAAAAATATTTTACCTATTTTTCACAGATTCTAAATTGAACTTTAAACTGATAAAAATCATAATTAAAAATATATGTATCTTATTATTTGTAATATGGCCTTATATCTTTGTTTAACATAACTAAAAACTGTTTTTTCAGTCTACAGGTTTATGAATAATTTTTTCGTGTATAAAAGTCTTTTTTTAATAATTAACTACATTAAACATGTTGTTGAATCGTTTAGTTTATTGTATAAAACATGTTTTAGTTATTTAAAAAAAAAATTCCAAAACCCAAGTGTATGAATAATTTTTTGACACACTATGAAACTTCCATAAGTGAAAATGGATCCTATTAACCGTAAAGCATGACTATAATGTCAATTTAGAATTTACTCCCCAATATATCAATGATGGATTCGTTTGGAATTTAATTTTAAATTCCTTAAACAGTACATGAATCAAAGCTACATCAACATCGCACAACACTTTGATTGTTATTTAGCCCAGTATTATACCACCTTTGTCAGCCAAGAAGCAAAGAAAATAAAAATGAACTGAGTAATGCTCCTTGTTTGACTCCCATTTTGAATTCAAAATACCTTGTTTTCCCCACTTTACTCCGAACAAACTGTTTTGTTCGATTATACGGCGTTTATTACGGCTTTTACGTTTCTAAAAAAACCAAGTTTGTTTAATTTAAAAAAAACTTTGGCTCTTAACCAAAAACAAATTAATATAAAAGTCAATAAAGAAGGCACTTTTTTGGGATTCTGTGACAATTTCAGTTTGATAATGTTTTCCTTTTATATGGAGTTACGAACATAAAATATATAATATTGTAGTCTGATAAATAATTAAATCCATAGTTTGATTTCATTCTGTAATCCTCTAGTAAAAAAAAAAAAAAAATATTCAGGCAGTAAAAGTAAAACGAAAAGAAATTCGTACAAATGTCTTCCGCCATTTTAATTTCTGGTGGGGGAGCGGAGAGCCGTCTGGATTGAGTCGCATGCAGTCCCCACCAATGACTTTTTCCACCTCCCATCCGACGGAGAAGGGCTCGAAACCCGTTCCGTTCAAGCGGAATTGCTTATTGCAGTTTTCCCAAGAATTCCAGGCCCTTCGTCGGACGTTCGAGCACCCTTTCTCACCGCCTCTTAACAAAATGGAACCCAGCCCGAGCAATAAGCACCATTCGATGAACGACGAGTTGCACAGGTATTTCGCCAAAGCTCTCACGGACAAAATCAACTCGATGCTGGCAAACGGAGAAATCCCTTGCAAAGTCCCTCCACAAAAACGCAACGAAGGTAAGCCATTTTTTAATTATTCATTATTTAAACAATTTTTCTTCGAGCGTCTTTTGAAAATGAATGAGAGAAAACTTGGAAGCCCACACACAAATCTTACGACAGAAAGTGACTGAGAGTTTTACAATTTAAACAGTTAAAAAAAGAACTTTTCTCATAACTTTTGCCTTTTCATTTGACATATTCGGTCAATACATGCTTTTAAATACGATAAGCTTTAAATGAATCGCACAACGCAGAGAGACTCTTCTCTCAAATTGCACTTTTGATTTGTGACGCCTGTTTTGAAAAATGGGCAATGTTTTCGTTTTGCCGCCACGAGTTTGGTTTATTTTTGTCCAAAAAAACTTCAACGCTATCTACAACAATAAAAAAAAATCGAGCGAAACGTTTTAATTTAAAACAAAACAGAAAAAATTTCTTTAATAATAAATAATAGTACAAGGAATCCTTTTGCCCTGTTTGTCAACAGTGAAGTCTACAAATATATTTTCCTTGTATATGTACAAATTACGCTAAGAAGTTCGACTTCAACATTTAAGAAAAATAAAATCAACGAAAGAAAGCAAGTCGACATCTTTAGAAATGTTCGGCCACAGTTCTTCGTATCAAAAACAAAACAGGATTTTCATATCTGCATTTAATGCGTCAAGCAAAAGGTCAAACGAATAAAAACACGCAGACAAAAAATTTATGAAATGACATAAAATATATGTGTAATATTTTCCGGTCAAAAAAGGCCTGCGCGACTGGTCAAGTCTCGACCGGCAAAAGGTATCTACGTGGAGAGAGAAATTAAAAGTCATTTGGTTTATTTGTACTTTTAACCGCCTCATTTACATTATAATAACTCGGTATAAAATTGGCAATGAATCCAAACAAGAAATATGTCAAATAAAAAATATTTTAAAACAATTTCTGCTTATGTTGTTTTAAAAGTACTCTTTTTTTTCTTATTCCACGTTTGTCGTATTCTAATTTACGCATTTCAACTTTATTCATTTGTTATTTCGAACGAAAAAATTACACGAAAATCCATATTTCTATCATTCTGTTAGTTTTTATATCTAACTACCTGCGTAGATACAATTCTCTATATCTATTTCTCTGTCAGTTTTTATACCTGTCTACCAACTTATTTATTCATCTATCANCAAGATATATTTGTCTATTTTTCCATTATTCAATATATTTCCATAGGTAACTATGAATCTATTTATCTATCATCTACATATATCTATTTATCTTTCTGCATTGATCTATTAACGTATTTATATGTTTGTCTTGTTTGTATTGTATATTTATCTATTGTCATTTATTTAGCGATCTTTTTTTATATGTAACGATCTACCTATCCATCTATCTGCACCTATACCTATGTACAATCAATCTGTCTGTCGATTTATCTACATATCTATTCTATCTATATCTATTGTCATCCTACTTGTCTTTTTACATACATATCATTTATCTATGTATAAATTTATCCTGAAACTATCTGTCTTTCTATTTAGATATGTTGTACTACCTGTATTCTGTCATTCTTTCAATCGAAATTATCTTCCTATCAATCTAAATCTCTCTTAATCCACCTATCTATATCTATTCTAGATATACTAAACTGATATAAATCTATCAGTTTGAGATATCTAGATAAATACTAAACCTATCTACCTATCTGTATACCTATTTCCTGTATCTGTATACCTGTATTTCTATCTAAATCCTTATTTTGTGTCTTTCTATCCAACCCAAATCAATCTATGGACATTTATGCCTGTCTTTATATCCAATTGCTAAAGCACTCGTCTGTATTCGTCTTTTTGCCTAACTACCTACCTATATATATCTTTGTAAGTCAATCAATCTGTACATGTACATATTTAGATATAGATGCCTACGACAATCTTTCTTCCTAAGTATCCACCATCTGTCTATATCTATCAGTATGCGTATCTATCATTCCACATATCTGTCTTGTCCAAATGTCTGTCTTTTTATCAATTTACTAATTTATACGTCTAGTACTCCTCTCTATCTACTTAAATATATGTAAATGTGTATATGTATTTATCAATCATACATTTCTATTAGCCTATCTATCAATCCATTTCTGAGTTTGTATATTTAGCTTTTTTCTGCTTCGTACTGCTTGTTGGTATTCCTTTTTATTTAACAACTTACCTATGTACCAATCTTTTTAACAAGATATCTATATGTATTTTTCTAACAATGTATAAATATCGATTTTAATTTCTATCTAACAACCTACTTATCTAGGTTTGTAATTCTTCGTACCTTTCTTTCAATACATCTATCAACCTCTTTATCTACACAGGTATCTTCTATCTACAAAAATATAAATTCTTTTACTTTACTTCTATATTATAAATCTGCGTCGCAGTTTTAAAAAATCTCGTCTGCCGAAAATCTTATATTTTTCAATTGATAAAAAAAAGAAGATGAAAATAGTCCTCTTCCTTTAAAGAAAAATAATTTTCTTTTAGAATATTCTTTAATTATACGACTGACAGGTGGGATAAATTCCCTGACAGGGGGCCAGTTTTTGCATTTTTGTTTCTGGTGGTAATTTCATAATTAAATCATAAATCCTTTGACTTTTTATCTTTTAATGGTGGGTTGCTCTTATTATTCTCTGATGCATCAATTATCCGAACTCTGTTTATTTTACTTTAAAAAAAATTTTTTTTAGCTATTCCAAAGTCCGTCGCCAGTCATGGTATTAGTTGAGAGTAGTTGTTGACTTATTACCAGGAAATACTCGACAACTAACAGAAAATTTCAAAAATTAAGTGGTTCTTTTTAATGAAAACAATGATAATACAAAATTAGCGAAACTAGTTTTGATTGCTACATTTCTATGTAAATGTTCTCTTGTTTAAACTATCCTTGAGCCTCAGAGATCTGTTTTTCAGGTGTACAGTTATTTTAACTTTAAACATTTGTTTTTACCTTCTACATCATAAAAAACGTTTGAGTACGAAGATTCCTTGCTTTTTTCATAGGATAAAAATCCAGATTTTAATTTTTTCCCTGTGATTGTTCCCCTTAGTAAGAAAGTTGGGAAAAAAAATTCGTCACGGATGTTCAAAAAATTTGTTGGTGTTTTTAACTAGGATCTCACCATTAAATTTTATACTAGATTAAACCACCATTGGTGTTTGTTTGTTCCTTTCACTTTCTTGACTTGTCGACCTAATTTATCCTCAATTCTCAGTAGGATTTAAATCAGGAGATGTGTGTGTCCTCTAGCCCCAGGAGTTGCATTATGTGACAATAATCTTCGACCTTTCCACGTTTAGAATAACAATAAACATTTCAGACTTTTAGATGCATTTTAATAAGTTAGCAGAAAAGTAAAATTTCTTAACCATAAGCACTATAATGTAATATATAAAATAAATTTGCCAGTGATGACCTTTCTCTACGTAAAAATTTGGTTAATTTCTAATTTAATGAAATTGAATTAATTTTCACACAATAAAGATGCAAAAAAGAAAAAAATTATTCATAATTTAGATAATGGATTTTTTCCATAAATAATAATAAACAGAACATTTGTGTAAATACTGAAAATCACTTGAGGTAACGCAATGAACATCACTCGCAATAATTTTGAGTATATAAAAAATAATGTACCTAATCAATTTAAAACGTTAGTTCAATGCTTTAGAGTAAAAGAAAAGCCCATGAACAAAGAAACAAACCTGCCGATTAAAATAAAAATACGAACATAATTATAAACAATTTATTAAATAAAATAGAAAATGAGCTGGAAATTCTGTTTCCAATAAGAATTAAGAGCCAAGAAAAATAAATTTAGCCATAAGTCATAACATATGTATTTTCCATAAGTCATAACTAAAATATCCATATTCTACTTTCCAAATACCATTAGTGACCTTAGTGGGCTAAAATACGTATTTTTTTAAAAATAAATTTAATTTTCAATCTTTTTTTTTAGATTAGAAAAAAGTTGATTTTTCACATATAATACAAGTTTGTGAAAATCAAAAAATATTTTTGTTCTCAAATTTTTTGCATTCTAAAATGTTTAAATTAAAAAAGCTTTTTGACTTGCTTTACTAGAATTTTGTAACTTGTTGTATCATATTTAACTTTTTAATATGATCTGTACATTATAATTTTTAAAAAAATTTTTACTACGGAACAAATCGGCTGATATATAATAATTTTGAAATATGTAAACAACGAAAACGAAGAAATAAATTACTCATTAGCTGGCTGGAAAAACTCGTTATTATTTGCGTATCGTTGTCTGGAAAAACTCCATAAAATCGTGAAATCCAAGACGATTTAAATTACTTTAAATAGTTTTTTATTTATTTATAATTAATTTATTAATTATAATTTTTCTTTAATTTATTTAGAATGCTTAATTTATTTTCGCGACTTCTAGGGTAGTCCTTCCAGTATAGTAGGAACCTATGTGTTTAGCTTGTTAAAGAATTTTTAACTTATGTACTGCATATTATTTACTCGTTTTTGTATATTTTTAATATGTACAAAACATATCGACCGATACATTATTGAATGAGTGAAAATTGCAGTCACATATTATGATTATGATCGTAACTTTCAATTAAGTAATTTCTAATTAAATTGATAATTTGTAATAATTACTAACCATTTTCATTCCTCATTTTGTACCTTGGTTTCGTTAAAATAGTGAGAAATAAAATTAATTTATAAATTTTAAATTGTTTAAAACCAAGATTTGTAGTTCTTGCCTGGGAGTAACTCTTTTCAAATTAAATGATAGCAAATTATTATATATTCAAGTCCTTAGTTCCATGAGTTAGTTGTCCTTTATTGTTAACATATTTTATTGTTTATTTTAACATTAAACGACTTTGTGATGTAACTTTTATAATTTAAATTTAAAATTGGACCAGTTCACAGATTTAGTTTCTTTCTGTGTGGCACTCGAGTTTATTTAATTAACAGACTATTTTTTTAAATCAGTACTAATTAATTTATATTCTCTTGTACCATTTTTAATTTTACTATTTTTTCTTACATTCTTCTTTACCGCCGTTATTACGTTAACTTTTGTAACATTATTTTAATAATTGTCTCGACTCCCCCAAAGTGCAAATGTTTATTTAACTTGGGTGAAGTGATGAAATCCCGTTTTGTTTGGCTGGAAATTCTAAGAATCGGAATTGACGGTTTGCTCTGAAAGTGGAGAGAAAAAAATATTGAACATTTGTTTCCTTTTTGCCGACAACTGATTACAGACAAACCACTTTTGTGTTTTTTAAAAGTCCTTTAAGTTCATTTTGTCTCATAATTCAATTAGAAAAAAAACCTTTATTTTTTACACAAAAAAATATTAAGTGAGGATACTTTAGGAAACGGAAATATTGCTTATAAATTGTGATTGTTTTGACCTTAACTAAACTTTTAATCTCCATGTTTTTTATTTGACTCAAATTTTACAACTGTAACCCTTCCTATGTTAGTTTGACTTGGCAGTATTTTTGAAAACTCGCCTGACCTATGTTGTACATGATAATATTCAGCTTGAAAAAATACTTAAGCAAACAAATCCTTATTTTTTATTTTATTTTTTTATTTTTCTAATGCATCGGCCAAAACCGAAACAAATCCCTAAATTGATGTGTAACTGTGATGTGTAAAAAAAAAAAATGTTTTGAAAGAAAATTCATCCAAACACTGGAAAATCATTTAGTGATAGGTTAAAATTTAACTAACAATTCCTAAATTGATGTGTAACAGTTTTATGTTTTATTCAAACATTTACTATTAAGTTTGAATGCTAAAATTATACTTTACCACAATATAATTGATATCAGCCTGAAATATAATTTTGTATAAAAAAAATCAGGGATAAAGCTGATTTGAAAGAAATTAAAACTCAGTGTTTCTTTGTCAAGCTTTCGGTGAATGTATATCTTATTGGATGTTCATCGACAATTCTGATGTAAATTGTGATGATAGTAGATCTCATTCTGTTCAGATTTTCAGATATTTGTTAAACTTGTGAATTATTAATAATAGTTTCAAATGTGGGGTGATATACACTCAAAGATAAAAACAGTGGACACTTGTATTTTGTGGTTTATTTCAAACTATCTGTCAATATTGTGATATTAAATACAGCATATTTTAATGTAAATGAAATTAAACGAGATCAGAAATTCACGAATTAAAAAAAAAAAATAATAATAATAATGCTTGGAAAGAAAATTCATCAAAACACTAGAAAATCATTTAGTGATAGGTTAAAATTTAACTAACAATTCCTAAATTGATATGTAACAGTTTTATGTTTTATTCAAACATTGAGTGAATAAGTAACCACATTTTGTTTGCTTGAGAAACAGAATCCCATTCTTCAGCACGAGTGGTTTGAAGCTGTTCACCGCTTGTTGGTGGCGGCAAATGATTTCTAACCCATCCCTTTATGATGTCCAATAAGTGTTCTATGGGATTCATTCATGCCAGAAGAACGTGTTGGCCAATTCACAAAGTAGTAGGTGACAACTTGAGCTACATGTGGTCGAGCATTATCACGCATTAACATGAAGTTGACGCCAATAAATGGAGTGAATGGGACCAGTTTCCAGAAAAACTTCCTCTAAGTACCTTAATACAGTCAAAGATTCATTCTGTATGATAATCAGTTCAGTACGTACATGGCAAATATGTTGATCCCCTCTAGCCCATACCAAAACTAACTACGTTTGAAAAGGCTGTGACACATGGCTCGTGAAGTAAAGCGTTCTCCATGTCCACCAACCAAACAGGCACTCATCTGTGAAGAGAACAGCCCCCAGCAGTAGTAGAGGACCTGATGCAGGACATCTAGAGACTAGGCTATTCTTTAGAATCCTTCTGATAACTGTTTTAGAGCTCACCCTTAAATTATGGACTATTTGGAGTTGACTACCTATCAAGGAAGATGTTAAATGATGGTTAGAGACGATCGTTTTATGACTTACCACACTACATTGTACCATTGTACATCGTAGTCGACCACTAACTTCTTTTTGATTGAGACGTCCAGTGGCCCTAAACACCTGTAGACCATCGGGATGATAAAAGTGTGGCAACGCAGGACATGGGCTATGTAATGGAAACCACGTACGTCGTTAGTCAAACCATCTGCCCGGGTGAGATCTTTTCAACTTAAAACCATGTTTTGAAGAAAAAAATTACTTTTTTTTACTCAAATTCATTGTTTCATCAAAGAAAACATTTTTAAAAACCAATTAACTCACTCGACAAATTGGCTCTCAGAGAAAGGATGAAATTGAACTTATTTTATCATTAATTAATTATTAAGTTATTAATGTTTTGGTTACGTTTTAAATCTTTAAGCCATTAAAAACATTATTTATACCTAATTATTATGGAACATAAACAAGTAAATGCAAATATATAAATTGAAAGTGTGGCGAAGGAATTGAGTGTCACTTCTTTCAAATTGGTTTTATCACTATGATTATAATCTTACCTTACCAATGTTTTATAACATATGATAAAGTTTGTTAGAATGTTGAAGGTGAGCAGATTATAACTAAAAGAAATTGTATAGTTCGTTAGAAAAAACTTTTTTTTTTATGATTTACTTTAAAAAAATTCTTACAGATAATAATGAGCTGTTGATTCCATCACACATGTACGCCCACATCTTCAAAGAGTGCGAAACGTCCGACATCCAAAGTGAAAACAACCTTGCGCCAATTAGCCCCCTGGGAAAAGCAGGTTGCTTGTTTTTTTTTTTTTTTTAACATTACGAGTCAATTTTTCTTTCAAGTATCACCTTTGATCGTCGGCCTTGACACGAGATTCTTTGACTTTTAGATCAGCAGTCAGGAAAGAGTCCTCCGGGATTCAATCCGGTCTTCAACAATATGAAAGAGACGATATTACCATCTTCTCCTTCTCCCTCGTCTGATCGATCTCAGGGATGGACAGGTAAATTACAAATTTAATTGCTCAATCCATTAGAATTAAATCATATCTTTAATTAAATTTATGCCTAAAGTGGAGTCGTTATTGTGTAAATAAAAATATATATAAGGTCTTCATCATATAATTATATCAATATGTTTGGTATATTATAATTTTATAATTATAATTAAGGCGGTGAAAACTAATCAGTTTCCTTCTTAATGGAATTTTTTAATTTATAAATAAAAGGTTATGCACAATAAAATAAATATATTATCTACTAAAAAGACTGATTGCATTGACATTTGTTATAAATTCTTACATATGCAGAAAAGAATTATCATCAGTCTTCTGAGAAGATAATAGAAAATTTGTTTCAGCAAAAATTAACAGAAGTGAAGAAAATTTTGAATCTCTTTGGACTCGGATCCTGAACCAGATACATCAAGCTGTGGTACTTATTATGTATCTTTGAGTTCACATCTTTTTTTTTTTTTTTCAAACATAATATTTTTATTAACAAAGAATGTGAGGCTCTTATTATACAGGCAATCAGATGGTCTGATGAGTTTATTTAGATAATAAATAACATAATATTTACTTTAACAATGCTAATAATTTATTAATAGGTTGATACCACATACTAATATTTATTTATTTATAAAATATAATGAATTGTTTCACAGATAGAATTTGTTATTAATTTTGAAAAAGCAACTAATGATTTTCATTTATTTTCTATTAGTTTTAACATTTTATTGATGATATCCTAATTAAATTAATTAACCTTTTGTAGTTTATGACCCAGGTCTAGTTATCGTCACAAATTTAGCATTGAATTTTATTTGCATTTACAAAAGAATATAGCATGTACAAAAAAAAGTTATCTTAATAGTATTAAAATTTAAATGATTTATTATGAGTCTTGAGTCAAAGGAATATATTATGACTTCAGCAGGGTCAACTAAATATTAAATTAGGTCTGGAGGGTAACGAAAAGGCGGACGAAGTAGCTAAGGCCGGGATTTCCAAACCTCCAAACTTTTATCACCACGATCCGGCCCCGTGATGTTAAAAATGCAATAAAAACCTGAATAAAAGAAAATGGCATGGTCTGCATCGGCAGAGAAGTTTTTGCGAATCAAGAGCACTGTCGATAGGTTGCCCTTGGAGGACCTGACTTGTAGAACAAGGGCCATCCTCACTGGATGCAAGGTTGACACGTGGACACTTTTTTTTTTAGCAAAAGCCTGTGTATGTTATGCAGAGAAAGGTTGACTGCGAGAAGTAATAAGCTCAATTATGTGCAAGTGTTTATATATACATTTTGTGCAGATTAAAGCTTATATTAACAGTTATCAGTAAAAATTAAACTCTTACAGAATATAATGCCAAAAATTCACAAAGGTCCTTAATACATATATGATCCATAAAGAAATTATTATAGTTTAAGACTTGACCCAACTACTTTTTATCTTTCCAGCATTTCTTGAAAACTCTGAATATTTTATTATGACAGAAATATTGTGAATGTCTGGGTGGTCTTTATTAGATGTACATATGATTCATTGACATTGATTCATGTATATATGATTCATGATTAAGAAAACAAGTTTAGCTTGTACACTGAAATGAAAAACATTAGAACAGGGCTGAATAAATTTAATTCACTATAATAAATGTTGAAATTTTGTTTTCTTTTCAGAGGAACTTCGAAAGTATTTCTCTCAGAGCCAACCGAACAAAACAGAGAGGCCAGACGTGCAAGGATACGAATTTTTGCGACTATGCGTTTTTTGCCGTCAAAACAGGGAGGAACCGAGCTTCTGGACTTCCCATTCTTTGAAAGACATCAAAGGGAATGTCATTTGTCCAATCCTCCGTGCGCACGTCTGCCGTATTTGTGGAGCTACGGGAAGTAAAGCTCACACTATCAAGCACTGCCCTTTCAACCAGAATGTGACCAACGTAGCCCGAACAGCACGAAAAAATGCCGTTGGGAGATATGTCATTAATCATTCCAACTACAGCGGTTTAATGGATTTTTACAATAAGTATGATCGTTCTTAATAATACAAAAATTGTAATCCTGGTAAGATTTGATTTTGAGAATACATTTGCTTCCTGTAAGTCATAAGGAAGGAAAAACAATCATATTTATTAAGATTTCTATTGTTTTTTATGTTTATTTTACAGATGAATTTTTAGAATGTATTTTAAATCATACTAGTCTCTCTAGTTTTAATATGTAATAAGAGTGACAATTTGTAAATTTCAGTTGTTTTATGTTACAAGTATAAAAGATATTTTCCGTTAAGCAATTTGAAAAACATATTACACAGTTTAATTAAAAATTAGAGAAATGGAAATATTTTAACTTTTTATAATTTACATTAATTACATACATTTTTTAGTTTGTTTAATGAATGGAACTCCAAAATGATGTTCGTTTTTTTTTTAAATAATTGTATTGTAATCATTTTGTTTCAATTAATAACAAATAATACTACTAGCCATTTAGATGTATGAATTATTCTAAGAACAATAAAAAGAATATACTACATAAATATATATAATGTATATTCAAATGTATTTATGAACTCTACATTGGATTGATGAATTGGATGCAATTAATTTAATTTGTTGTTTTTATTATTTATATGAACTTGACATTTTATACATCATTTGATCCAAATTTTTGTTGATTTATTAATGAATTTAACTAATTTTAAATAAATACAAAGATTGAACTAATGCTGCTATTTGTTTAATACGGCCGTAACGACATAGGTGTGGCACCTAAAGATATTTTATTAAAAATGTAATGGAACTACTTATTAACGTTTAATACTGTTTATTGTTTTAAATGTAAGAATGCTTGATGTGTTTCTTTTATTGTTTTGACTATTTAGTGAATTTACGTTTTGTTTGTTTTTGAATTTCCACCACTTTTAATATGAAAAAATGAGTAAATAAAAGAGTATTAAAAATGAATTTTTATGGGGAAAAAAGATGAAATGTTTTTAATTTTTAAAAATATTTATAATAAAATTGTTTGACACATTAATTCGATAAAAATACGAACAATGAAGTATTAGTATGAAATTGAAGGCATACTATGAAGTGTAAACTTGGAAACCCAAAGTTTTATATTTTTTACTGTTTAATTTGTTTTTAAAAATGAATGTTTTTGTAATATATAAATAAAATTTGTACTACAACCTTTTTTTTTGTTCTTTTTTGTTATTTGGTAGCATTTTAGTACCAAAGTAAATAATGATAAATAAGAAAGGATGTTATACTTACATGCTTTTTCTGATTGCTGAAGTATTAACCTTTTTGACAATTCAATATGTTCGTAGGCAACGCTGGTACTCTATACCTTGTTGCCAGAGCAGTCCGAGGATGTTTAGCATACGCATACGAGCTTAATGGTTTTTTTGTGTGGAAGAAAGGTAAGATAAAAAAAAGAAGAGAATATTCATATACATTTACCGTTACACTTTTATGGCTTAGTCGGTCTGAGTATATAGAACAAACAATACAAGTTAGCCATCACCCACGGTGATCTTATCTGCAAAAAGAACTCACCAAACGATCTCTGCCAATGCTCTTTTCCACAACCTTCAGTGTCTTCTAGTTTCTCCTATACACTATAAATTCATAAACTCTTATTTATTTTTAATATAAGGTTTTGCAACACAGAGGTTGAATACTTGGTATGTTGTTTTTGAAAAAAAAAAAGAAGAAAAAAAGCCTGTTTGTAGGTATGTTGGGTTAAAATCCAATAACACAAAACATACTTATAATAAACAAATAAGGATTTTTTAATACTCTTTCAATTATAATTAATGGAACATGTATACAAATAAACCCCTTGATGTTAGGATGTACTTTTACTAGGAAAACCTTACTTAATCTAACCAATGCACACTTACTAGTTACGTGAAATCAAGATGTGGAAACGGTCTCAAAACAAATTTGTGGCTCCAGCCCAAAAACGTAAATGTTAAAATTCAAATGACATTTTTAATACCAATTTATATTTGTTATCCGTGCCTAAAACCTAAAAGCAAGCAAGAGAAGCGCATTTCAATCTATTTATACTTTTTTTTCTTATAAAATTCACTCCACGAGTCTAACTGTGGAAGAATTAAGCTAGGAAAATCTCAAAAAAAAGTCAAAAGCATTCAAATGGGGATAAAATCAAATTTTATTTGTATATATATATTTTATTTGTTATCACTTATTCACTTTAGTGCATCGCAAACATTTGAGATTTAATACCAACCGACAATAGAAGGGTAACAAAATATGTGGTGCAGTTTTTGAATTTGTAGTCCAGATGAAATATCACAATATTCTCATGTCTGCACAACAATGTAAAATATTTTTTCATTAATTTATTTATTTTAAAGAAGGCACCAGTATATTTGAGATGTTATTCACAAAAATATATTTATCTCGATCATTAACACTTAATATATTTCCATTCTTGTGATTTAAACAATTAAAATATTTTCTTCCATTATGACTTCCATGTATATAATAAAATAATTTGAACAGCCTTTGTTTTTAAATCACTATCGATTTTTATACAGAAAAAAGAAAGTAATCACCAAAATATCCCGGAAGGAGTTTGGATTGCCAAGGAAGCCACAGCAAATCACTAAGAACAATGTGACAAATATTTTTCAAACTCCTTGCCGTCGAAAAAAGTTTTTATTCAAGACCGAATCCTTCAGCATTTGAGATTGCGATGATCAGCTTTTCCCTTAGGGCCTCTTTGCTCTCGTACTGCGGCAGGATGAGCTGGTTGAAGCACGTATGAGCCTCAGGGAGATTTCCAGGATCCTGGTTTGTCCTTGTGACTTTAAAAGTCATTTCGCCCATACCTCCGACTGGAACTCTGTCACTTCCAGTTGTAAACAGGAGAAATTTCTTTTTCAGATCATCATCCAATGATATCAAAACATCCCAGAAATCACTACAAACAAACCAAAAAATTTTGAGCTATTTTCTCATGTTTTATTGAAATAAAGTATTAACGTACATTATCAATGGCTGTTCAGGCTTGTAGCCATCGTATTCTGTCACTTTCCTCAATTCATTTAAATCTAGCGTGGGAGATCCACAAACTAACATTTCAACCTCTTCAGGCCTCAGCATCTTTAAAACAAAATGAACACTAGGTGACAATCTGTATCACAAATCCAGATTTGTCTTACTTACAATTAGAGCATTTGATGCACACACACTGTGGAAGCCCAGGTAGAACGCCCTGAACTGTTCATAAATGGCTGTGTTCAACACCCAATCTAGATACAAACTCACATAATCTTTTCTGTTTGTGTTTGTAACGGGTATGTTGTCCCCAGAAGGTTTTAACATGAAAGTCTTCACCTCTCCATATTCTTCGAGTGAGACCTGTGACATTAAGAATTATTTTCAAACTACAAGCAGTGTACTTGTGACTCACCTGAAAATTCATGCACATGTCCTCTTCAACATTACCCTCATAAGCAAGCAAGTTTTTCAGCCCTTGTGCAACATCCTAAAATAAAAATACGACGATAAATAAATATAGATTTAGTATTTGTTTGTTTTAAATTAATAGAAGGCAATATAACTTTGATAAACAATAAGTAATTTTTTCTTTCCTGAAGAAGCTTACCGGCAAAATTTCAGCCAGGTCATCTATCGTTGGATTGCGCACCATTCCAACGCCACTCGTGTCTACAGGTGGCACCACTGGAGGCGACAAGAGCTTCCTGTAGCAGATTGATGGAAAATGCAGGTCCAAAATTATCGAGTTGTAGACAGCCAGACCCATTAAAACACCTGAAAAAAACCTTTGTAAGATGTGTTGGCAGTGGGGCAGACCTCGGTCTTATCTATCCAGCCACTGAGGTTGGGCTCGAGGAGCTACCAACAGTTAGGTCATTTCAACCCCCAATGTTATCAGTCTCTAGATCCAAACCCACTGACACTATCACTCGTTCTTATATACAATACTGCTAGGTTAGGGTGGTGGAGTATGTGATATTCCTCTATCACCCTTTACATCTATTTTAAAACTAACCTAATTGAGGGTCAATGGGGACTCAATATTCCACCATTGGCCCTCTCACACTACACATTCTTGTCAAAAATAATTCACTCTCAACACGCACTAGGGGACACAAGCTATAAGAACTTTTTATACAATAAAACAATCTTGTTTATTCCAAGAATCGGAACACAGGATCCAAATACTTGCTGCTCTGCTCCAACACAATTCTCATGTCAGCTGACAATCTGCCTATATGAAGCCAAGGAATTGCACCCTTCAATGAGGTGGGACTCATCCTTTTTTTGCACACCGGACATATACATAAGCTTTGGCTCAAAATAAGTGTGTCAACCTCACATTGCCTATTCTTAACCAGGTGAGGATGCCCCTGCTTCTACAAGTCAGGTCCTCTGAGGGCCAACTATCAACAGTAATCTTGATATGGGGAAGCTTCTCTGCTGATCTGTCTCGCTGTCACTGTCGCTTTCTTTTAATTATGTTTTTATTGCATTTTGCATCAGGGACTGGAACAAAGTTGCAAAGTTTGGACGTTGGGACATCCTGGCTTTAGCCACCTTTTCATTATCCTCCAGACCAGATACCCAGAAAACAACCATCATTTTGCCAGCATTGACCCATCTCTTGGTGTCTATATAACAAGAGCACAATGAAAGGGATGATGGAGGATCTGTGGCAAACTGCAGTAACCACACCGAGGACAAAGCCACCATTCTCTTGAATCACCTCAAACGCATGCCAAATTGCATACAATTCTTGAGGGTAAGCTGATCTCTCTGAGCAGCACAGGCTGGCCAAAGGACTTGTTCTAAATACCATGGAGGCCGCTACTAGAGCATTTCGAGCCTTTGCAGTGTCCGTGAATCAACCTCACATGGCCAATTGGGTGAGGATGATTCCTCTTCTTAGGTGAATCCTCCGAGGTCCGCGTACCAACAATGCTATTGATATGTGAGAGCTTGTCTGCTTACCTAGCCCACTGCTCTTTCATTTCCTTTTAATCATGCTTCTAATTACATTTTTAGCATTACAGTGGTTATGTAAGCAGTTGGATCACAGCTTTAGCCATCTTATCCACTTATTTTATGAGTCTGGTGATCCAGACAACCACCACTGTTTTTCCCATTTAAAAATACTATTTTATTTTAAAATACGATTGGACTCTTCTCTGAGTAGTAAATAAAGGAAATCATGTAAACTAACCGATTAAATTGTATTCCCTCAGATTCCCCTCCTGGTCGGTACTGAACCAGTAGCATCTGGAATGAGGGTGGTAAACGAACATGCCATAGTCAGGGTGGAAGATTTGCCGTATTAATAGGAGAAACCATTCTTTCGTCAAGCCTCCCATGTCCAGACCAGGTTCGCCAATGAAGGACACTTTTAACTTTTTTTTAAGATCCTTTTGCTTGCTTGCAATCTGCAATATCAAAATTCATTATTAAAAAGTTAGTCCAAGTATGGATAAGGATTTTAACTTTTTATTTCTAGCTTCTTGAACTGTTAATAACTTTTTAATTATATTCCTAGTTTTAGTAAGACATTGGATAATTTTTATAGTAATATTTTTATATTTAAGTTTAAATTAATAATATTGTTCTAAAATTTGACTGGAATTAATATAACATATTACTATATATACCTCATTAAGAGAATCGCAGACTAGATGTGCCCTTCTTACAGTGATATTCAGGAAGAATATGTCGATTTGGGGGGCCTGGTGGCGTGCAACTTTTGCGACAAGAGATCTTCTAGCTGTGAGGATCATTTGTTGTTCAGAATCCTTGAATTAAAAATGAATTAATAAATAATAAATTAAAAATTAATGCGACAAAATTTAAAAACCTTGGTTAAGATTATCCGCTTGGCTACAATGCTCAAAATGAAAGGGTACTGGCAGTACGAAAACTGGCCTGGCCTCTGGGGCGTTTGCCAGCTGAAATAGTCTTGCATGAGATCCATGTGGTCGAGCGCTGAGTTGTAGAATTCCACGTAGTCTAGCAATGGCGGACTCGAAGCGTTGTTTGCCGCGTCTGAAAATTAATATGGTACAATCAGAACAGCTCTTCATCATAGACGGAAAATATATAATTTACTTATTAAGGCTAAAGTCTTTGTTGCTGTTGGAATCCACCATCTCGTCTTGTTCAAAGGTGGGAGAGATTTGTCTCCAGGGGGAAATTGCCTTATTGTTATAAATTGAATTATATTTCTCACTATCGCCCTTATCCTTTCAACCTCAAGTCTGAAAACAGTTTTTTAAATTTGTCAAATTTCATCAAAGACATAGTATATAAGGATCTCTAGTAAAAATGAAGAATATAAATAAAAAGTAGGTTTATTGGCAATAAAATAATTTAAAAAAAGAAGACATTTATAATTATTATAAAAATAATGCGATAGGACAAAAATGTAAGGATGTACATTCTCTCTCTCTCTCTCTCTCTCTCTCTCTCTCTCTCTCTCTCTCTCTCTCTCTTTTACAATTTTCAGTGTACAGTTTTTATTTGTAGTTAAAATTACCAAAGTTTTACATTTCCATATTGCTGATTAAATTTAAAAAATATTTGTTAATATGTTCACAGTTATTCAACCCGTATAGAAGAGGGCAGGACCTTGTAAGGATTGTGCAATGCATTAACAAATAAATGTGCATTCCTCGGCAATTTTCATCAAACAATATGCAAACAATGTTCCATTTGTTTCCAATTTCTTAGTAAACTGACCTTATCAAAATTAAAAAACTTTACTGTGTAAAATCCTAAAATTTAACAATATGTATTTATGGGCTGTATGAAATTGATGCATTTTGAAGCAAATTGAAAATAAATACAACCAAAAGTATGACAATGATATGCCAAAAAAGTGGTTTATTAGTTCCCTTATATTATTAATAAGTTAAGAGACCTACTGCTAATATATTCCTTTATTTAAAATATATATATACAAAAAAAGGATTGAAAGAAAAGTTTGTATGTACATGCTATCATAAAGCTCTATTTTTTTGTAACTTTTTATTTATTTTAATACAATATTTTAGAATACAAAAAGAATTGTTTTGTACAACTAACTGCTCAAGTATTGTTAAAAGATTAAATATTAAACAAAATAAACAATTATCTATTGTAATCCACTTATTCAAATCAAAAATAAATACTTAATCATTATACTTCATGAACACTGGTATTTAGGCTATTTTTTCCTCATTGCAATAAAATTGATTAGGTCATTTATCTTGAGAAGAAATGTTTTGATTATGACACCTATTTGTTTAGGAAGTGAATTATTTATAAATGGTCGTTGTCCCAAGTAAATTTTTAGTCGGTGAGAGAACAATGGAGTGTCTGAAAGTGTTAATTTTTCTTCTTGTGATTACTTCCACATACGGAGCCCCTATTTACAAAGAGCCCAGTACGCACACTGATGATCTTCTTGAACAGGAGCAAGCGAGTGAAGGCGTAATACCTATACAGAGAAATCAGCGGTATCTTCAACCCGAAATGACAGTTGAAGTCGTCGATTTGATGAACGAACCAACAGGCAGGTCGAAATTTCCACCATCGGCAGGATCTGGACATAGCCTGCTGTTGGAGTTGAAAAAGAATATCCCTCTTGTTCCACCATTAAAGCTGGGATTGCACAAACCTGCAGCAGGAGGAGGCGACAAGCTCAATTCTGATTGCAAAACATCACATTTGGGTTTACCACTTTTGGCCGGCTTACAACAACTCGGTCTCACTTTGTCTCCAAAACCTACCACTTATTCGGCTCAGCCTGAGCAAAACGTGAATCAAGCCCCGCATGTTCAACAAGTTCAGCAAGTTCAGCAAGCTCAGGGCGAATATCCTCAACCGCAATTTTACCACGCGCTGCCCCCAGTGTCTCACATCCCGGTCTCTTGGGAAACGTACATAACTGAAGAAGAAAAGCCCCATGTCCATTATGCCACAGTGCCCTACATCAATGGATACAAACTGGCGCCTGTCTACACAGAGAAGAAAATCGAACTGAAAGAATATGTCAATCAACATGGGGACAACCACCACTTCATCAGCCCGTACCCAGTGCCATACCCTCATGACCATCATGTAAAATCAGATCAAGAAGTTCAAACCGGAAGGACTGCAGGCGGATTCATCCCTTCAGAACTTCAACAACCATACGGTCTTGACATCAACATACAAAACCATCAGATAATGGCAAGAAATGGAAAACATCAACCGACCAACTTCTCAGAACAGGCATACAGTGACATGATAAGGACGGCTAAGCAATTTTTCGAACAATCTCAAATGCTTAATCCTAAAATTAATGATTTTAATAGTACTCATGCAAGAAATTAATTATTTTTGTTAAACATTTGTTTTATTAATTTTGTATTTTTGTAAATATAATTTATATTATCTTTTCACTTATTACTTATTTTGGCTATCTCTTTTTTATCTATGGTTAAAGGGTTTACATCAATAATCAATGACAATCATGTTTAAAAAATAAATAAAAAGAAAAATAAAAAAGAAAGAAAAAGGATTGTTAGAATTATGGCAATTTCAAACATGATTATTTGAAAAAATTCTTTCTTTCTTATTTTTTAATGATAATTTATTTAAATAAATCAAATATTTTTTTAAAAAGTTGTAAAAAAATGAGCATTACAGCAGAAAAAAATAAGTAACAATCATCAACTAGTATGTTCCATTTGAGTAAAAAAGACACAGATAGCAGTAATTACGTTGAATAGTAAAAAAAATCAAGGCAATTTATTAATTAAGCAATTGGCTATAATATTTCAACTCATTAATTGCCATTTGTTTTTTTTTTCTGTCTTGTTAGATAGGATTAGTTTTTCTAATTTACACTTTTATTTACGTCTTTTACAAAGTCAAACTAATATTGCTATAGATCATTGGGTGCTTCATGAAATTTACTAATTTATTTAACAAAGTAGATGAGAAAATTTAAAAATTGACGGATACCTAATTGAGTTAATTAATTTTTGTAAGATGTTAAGAAATGTTGAACTATTTGACTGCAGTTTCAACATCATTCGACAGGCCAATCTGTCTATCCCTGATTTATTTCTGAGTGAAATCATTTAATAATTGTAGCAATTTCAAAAGACAAAGATCAATCTTTACAATACAATTTTTACAATTATCAATGTATATTATTGAATTTTTGTAATTGCATTGATTTCTTAAAGACTGTTATTTGGTGATATTTTATGAAGACTGAATGATCGACCCACAGCACAAAGATTATGTTGATTAAGAATCATGTAAGGTCTGATCCTTCATATCCTATGAAGGATATGATCCTTCATATCCTATGAAGGATATGATCCTTCATCATCTTCTTTTTTTTTCATAAACTTAACATATGGACGACAAAGTAAATACCTTCATTTAAATGGCTTTTACTGAAAATAGATTATTTCTTATTATGAAGGAAAAATGTATTTGATGAGACGCAACATAAGAATATAAAAATAAAAAATATAAAAAGTTTATATTTAGAAAAAAAATACAATAAAAAAAGACATAAAATTGTATTCCTAGAAGATTAAGTTTCCAAAGAAATGAATGTTTTATCGCTCATCGCTGGGTCTCTCCTTATTCTATTCAGCTGTGTTAAAAACCGGTTTACTTCCTCGAGAATGTTGTCTTGCTCTTGAATCTCGCTTGTCGCTCTGGGTATATTTTCATGATAGTGTTGATCAAACTGCTCACTTGGGTAAGGAATCGCATATTGGCTCGTATATGGATCTTCGGAGATGTAATAAGAGATGGCTCCAGGTATTGAAAACGCCAGAAGAAAAAATACAATCCTGCACTCCATTGTTTTGACTAATCTGTTTCGACGGTTCGGCATCTTTTATAACGCTTTTCATTTCACAACCGTTGGAATTGTGTAATTTTAAACAATGGATATGACTTAATAGAAAAACATTGAGTGGGGAAGCTCAAAACTTTTGATTCTTAAATTTAACAACAGAATAACAGTGAAAACTTACAATTGGAACCAATGAACAAGAAGTTGATGCTCAGAACTGTGAAGTCCGACAATCTGCTTTAGCAAATGAGCAAGTATTGTGTAGGAGGATTGAGCAGAGAAGACCGGGTTTTGAAGAAGTATGTATAAGGCACGGACATCGTCTTTTGGATATAAACTGCAATATTAAAAAGGAAAAATAATAATAATTTGTAGGTGAAGAAAAAAAAGTTCTCTATTAGACTTACACCCTCCCTTCTTCAAGTAAGGCATTTATTATGGACTTCAGCACTGTCTTGTGAACAATTGATGGCTGAAACATAGACTTTTGTCAGCAACCTTGAACTATCGAGTGCTTTCGATATCAATTGTCTGTTTTGTAAAGTGCAGCCGATCAATCAAATTTCATAGTTTGATATTGATGTGAAGACTGCACCTTTGTCCGTGTGAATTAATGCATGTGAACATACCATTGAGCGAAGAGCATCATTAACTGCATATACAAATTCCATCTTTAGCCCAGGGTCATCATATTTCACCGTACTGTCTTCACGTTTTATCTACCATGAAGACAAATTATTTTTAAAACAATTTTTTTCTTAAGATTTAAAAAGGCCTGGGCTCACCTTAAAAAGGGCGTTGATTTGGGCGAATGAATCGAACGAGCGCATGTAAAACCGCTGTACGGCTATGTAATTCTCGGTTTGGTGTGCTCTGCGAACGTCTTGCCTGTAAAAAATATTGGCATTGAAAAAATATATTTTACTTTAAAATCAAAAGAAAAGTTTTGGCATTTATATTTGTGATCATACTTTAAATTTTGCACAACTTCTATTCTTGTATTTTTTAATATAAGTGATTTTAAAATATAACTTTTTTGAAGAGAACAAAATGTTGTAATAACACAAAAATAAAAGAAATGATGTTACATAACCTTACATGTTAGTAAGGACATGATTTCAACATTACTTGTTCGAATGAATCTAAACTTTAAAAAATTGTTTTGTTAAATTTTAATTTATTAGAATATTCTTGGCCAATAACACAACTATTAACAATGAAAATTGTGTGATAATATTTTGGACTTGCTCAAGTTTTATGCAACTTTTTTAGATCTAGGCAAATGTGATTAACAAGCACTCCTTTTCAGAATTGGTATTATAAAATGTACATTTTAAAATATTAAAATGTAGATAAGATTAATAAAAAATAAATAAAATAGAGTAAAAAAAATCTGATTAGTATTCTGGACAGGACATGATACAGTTAAATAACACCTTAAAATGACACCATCATCACATGACCAATGATGATTATTTCTTGAAGAGGCAGTTAACAGAACATATCCTACACAACTTCAATAGCTAGACAAATGCTACGGTGCCTAGGAAAGGCCATACCGTACAATATAAAACTAGATATCATAATCTTCTAGGAAATCCATTAGCAGAGGTATTCCTATGACTCCAAATAGAACGAAAAATCATGTTATATTCTGCTCCGTTACACCAACTCTTCTTGGTAAGATCAAAAATGTTTTGATCAAGTTCAATAAATATCGAGTCAAAATATTTAGATTAATTTTAAAGAAATCGTGAGATGCGGTCTGGTGTGATGTAGGTTTCAGAAAAACATTTTCTTTATCGTGCCAACGTTTCGATCTTTATTGAGATCATCTTCAGGGCCTGGGATTTAAAAACATTGTTTAAATTTGACAAAAACATCTAGTATGTGGAAAAAAGAGAATTTATACAATGCAAAAAAATTATTTTTTTATATTCAATCAAAGTATTCTACTCCCTCAAAGTGTTTGTTTTCTGCATAATTGTGGCATTCTTGCATGTCTTGTGGCACTCTCAACATGACATGCAAGAATGGCCCAATTACTCAGAAAACAAACACTTTGAGTGAGTAGAAATACTTTGAATATAAAAATATTTTTTTTTTGCATTATATGAATTAACTTTTTCCACATCCTACATGTTTTTGTTAAATTTAAACAATGTTTGTAAATCCCAGGCCCTGAATATGATCTCAATAAAGATTGAAACATTGGCACGATAAAGAAAATGTTTTCTGAAACCTACATCACACAAGACTGCATCTCACAATTTCTGAATAATCTTCGACAAACAGTCACTAATCACCACATATTAATTTTACACAAAAATCAGGACTAAAGTTCTTAAAGAAAACCATTTCAGCACTGAACAAGAACTGAACTAGGCTTAGAAGCAATTTCTGAGCAGTTTCTCAAGACAGTTTTAATAAGAAGGCTTAAAAAAAATATTTTAAAAAATACATTTATTGTTCTTTATTGAAAAGTTACTTTAGCTATTTGATAGAAAATTTTGGCTCTTAAAATTAAAAGGAAGGCAAGAATATTTGATTATTGTACAGTCTGCAAATTATTCTGATGAGCTTGGGAAATACATAAGCTAGAATTGCAGATCTATAATTATCTAAGAAATATTTTAAAAAAATCGAAATTAAAAAAAAATGTTTTCTAATGATCTTTTGTTATGAATGAATTCTATAATCAAGTAATTTGTGGTTCAATTTTTAATTTCGCATTTATATTACTTTCATAACAGAAGCAGAACACTCAAATTTAACAGCAAATCAAATATGTTTAGAAATATAGTGTGAAAAACCAGGGATAAGGCCAATTTGAAAGAAAAGAACACAATGAGTTTCTTCCTCAGACTATGCGGAATATAAATCATTAGATCATCAGGACATGTACTTACAGTTATTAAAATTATGGTTTCAAACAGCGAATTTAAGCAGATGTTTATATTTTTTAACCTTTTAAAATATTAATAATAGTTCCAAAGTTATAATGAAAAGGATATATTTTTTGAAAGTATGATGAAGGAACCAAGTGTTTTCTATATGTTAAAATGGCCTGATTTGTCAATAGAAAATTATAATCATGTATATTTATGTCCTTGTCGATCTAATTTCATTTATTTTAAGGTTTCAATGAGGTAATTTAATCTCTAAATTTGTCGAGATGTCAAGATGGTCACTCTAATTGCATCTGTCAAATCAGTAATGCACTTTTTAATTTTTTTAAAATCTTCAAGTAATATTTCCTGATAAAAAAGAGTATAATTTAAATTTTGGCACACAGTAAATGTAAATTTGCTTAAAGTCAGAGAATCTTTTTATTCTCTTCTATAGTTCTATAATATAATCATTTCAAATTTCAAATTTATGTATATATTTTAATAATGTCTTTTCGAATCATGTAAATTGTTATACTTTAAAACATTATTTGTATTTTAATCTAGCACTGTTTAGAACTGATCATAATTTATGAAAAAGTTACAAAATTTAAAACATTAATTAAGAAAAAAACAGTTGAAAATGTATATTTTTATTAATTATATTAATAATGAATTTTTTATATTGCACAATATATAAAAAAGTATTATTTAAACGTTATTGTTAGTCAAATATGAGGAAATATGAGATATAGAGCTAAAAAGGTCGAGTCAGAGAATCTCTATAAGAATTCTCTTCTTTAATATAATCAATCATTTCAGCTTTAAAAGTTTATGTATATATTTTAATAATGGTTACAAGATTTCTTTTCAAATCATGTAAATTGTTGAACTTTAAAACAATTTGTATTTTAATGTAACACTGTTTAGAACTGATCATAATTGATGAAGAAGTTACAAAATTTAAAACATAACTGAGAAAAAACCCTTGAAAATTTATATATACATTAATTATATAAATAATAAATTTTTCATATTGGACAAAAAATGTTATTTAAACGTTATTGTAAGTCAAGTATGGGGAAATATTAGGCATAGAGCTAAAAGGCTAGTTCCTAAAGGGATCAGACTGAATTGCGGGGGGCCGAGCTCCTGCTCTATCCTGGGCTCCTGCACTCGATTTTGCGAGATTTAAGAGACGACGACTACCTTAGCCCAGAGGGGGATGATAAAACGGGTAGCCCTTACAGTTTCCACCCCCTACATCCCTTGCCATCAGAAAACAGCCCCTCGGCTTCTTGGAAAACCACCCCTTCGAATCCTTTTGACAATTGGCCTAAAACGGCCCCTTTTGTTGACAATTTTTTTTTGGCATGTTATGAGCTAAGAAAGATTATTTCCGCCCGTTTCCTCTCAGTTTCGAAAAAAAACCCCACTCTCTTTTTTTGAAAACGAAAAATTTTCTATTTCTGACATTTTGATTAAAAAAACAAAAAAACAACAACAACATACAAGTCAAACTTAATCAAACACAAATAAAAAAGTTTTTTTAAAATTCCTTTCTTTCTTTTATTATTTTATTTTATTTTTTTAATTTTATGGGGTTGCCTCTTTTTAGCGTTGTGACGCCTGAAAGAAATATCAGGAGAACAGGAAAGGCCAGGAGCTAAGAATACAATTCTATTAGGTTTTGTGCTCACTTGCGTGTCTTTTATTTAACCAGGTGACACATCTTATCAGAAGAAAATGTACAATAAAAAAAGTATTTTTTATGTGTGTATACGTAAATAAATAAATTAATACAACGCGCGCGCGCGCGCGTGTGTGTGTGGTATTTAGTGACCTTTGATTAATGATTATTTAGAGATCGTGAGATGCGGTCTGGTATGATGTAGGTTTAAAAAAATATTTTCTTTATCGTGCCAACGTTTCGACCTTTATTGAGATCATCAGTGCTCAAAGTGTGTGTTTTCTGTGTAGATGTGTCATTGCTGTGTGTCGTACGGTCATTGCTGTGGGCCACTCTCAACACGTCATACAGCAATGACACATCTACACAAAAAACACACACTTTGAGCCCTGAAGAAGATCTTAATAAAGAGATCATTCATGTTCTATGGATGTGTTGTTTAACTATTTGTTTATTTTCCATAATAACTAGGTATAAAGGTTAGTAGTTGACTTAAAAACATAAACACATTAATAACTTGTAAACAACATAATAATTGTAATTGTAAAATAATTCATTTTTACTCAAATTTATTGTTTCGTCGCAGAAACCAATTTAAAAAAAAATTACTCACTCGACAAGAGCCTTTTCCAGAACCATCTTGTCGTGTGAGTAATTAGTTTTATTAAATTGGTTTCTGCGACGAAATAATAAATTTGGGTAAAAAATGAATTATTTTTTCCTTAAAAGCACGGTTTTAAGTTGAGAAGATTGCTCGGGCAGATGCTTTGGCCATACAGAACCCTGGGTGTGCCCTCCGTTGGTCTACAGCGGTTTAGAGCTACCGGAAGTCTCGATTGAAGAGAAGGTAGTGGTCGACCGCGATGTATGATAGAGAGGATAGTTTTATTGCTCTACGGAACCGTCATTTAACGGCTTCTTTGATAGGTAGCCAACTCCAAACGATTGAGCTTTAAAACAATCATCAGAAGGCTTCGAGAGAATAGAAGCATCGGGTAGGAAGATTCGCATTCGCAAATCAGCATGGGGGGACTGTTCTTTTCACAGATGAGTTTCGGTTTGGTTATGGCAATCAGATGACCGGGACCAAAATAATTTACTATAAATGTAAGAATGAAATTTCGATGCCCCCAACCCTAACCCTACCTAACCTTACTCTAATACTAACCCTAACCGTACCTAAGTTAATTTAGCCTAACCTTAACTTAATCCAAACCCAACCAAGTGACGAGAAGATAGTCACGCAAAAAAATTCGAGCATCCAGCCCAAAAACATATCCATGTTAAAATTTCTTCACAGTTGAATGGGA